GGTCCTAACTTTTGTCTGGTTTGTTTACTTCTTAAGACCTTTGAGTTTTAAAATTTGTGAAATTACGTTTATGATCCTTTAATGTTTATGATTTAGTTACTTTTTAGATCCTATTTGTTTCGAAATTAAATAACTTGCCCCCTTTAGTTCAATCACGGTTTCATCTACGACTGTTCAGATCCAAAATCTCTAGAGAAATACTTCTTAATCACTATGAACTTATGTATACATTTTTTTTCTTTTACCACATATAATTCATTATTAATGATAAAGAAATAAGCTTTAGACCTGCAATAGAACAATAAGATAAACATAGAAAACTTAAAAAGATTAAAAAAGATAGACTTGAAAAGAAGGATAAAGAAAACAATAAGTTTTGATATGGAAGAGGGCCATGCATGATAGTAACCCTTATACTCCTTTTATAGGTTGATTGCAATGACAGACGTTAGAATTTATGTTACGAGGAAAAACTTAAGAAATTATATTAAAAATTTAAGAGTACGTACTTATAAAATTCTAGCAGTGTGAAATTAAATAATTTATGGTTGCTTTGGGATGGTAGGATGACAGTGCGTAGGATGATAGTAACCCTTATACTCCTTTTATAGGTTGATTGCGATAACAGACGTTAGAATTTATGTTACGAGGATAAACTTAAGAAATTATATTAAAAATTTAAGAGTACGTACTTATAAAATTCTAGCAGTGTGAAATTAAATAATTTATGGTTGCTTTGGGATGGTAGGATGACAGTGTGTAGGATGATAGTAACCCTTATACTCCTTTTATAGGTTGATTGCGATGACAAACGTTAAAATTTATGTTACGAGGATAAACTTAAGAAATTATATTAAAAATTTAAGAGTACGTAATTATAAAATTCTAGTTGTGTGAAATTAAATAATTTATGGTTGCTTTGGGATGGTAGGATGACAGTGTGTAGGATGATAGTAACCCTTATACTCCTTTTATAGGTTGATTGCAATGACAGACGTTAGAATTTATGTTACGAGGAAAAACTTAAGAAATTATATTAAAAATTTAAGAGTACGTACTTATAAAATTCTAGTAGTGTGAAATTAAATAATTTATGGTTGCTTTGGGATGGTAGGATGACAGTGTGTAGGATGATAGTAACCCTTATACTCCTTTTATAGGTTGATTGCAATGACAGACGTTAGAATTTATGTTACGAGGAAAAACTTAAGAAATTATATTAAAAATTTAAGAGTACGTACTTATAAAATTCTAGCAGTGTGAAATTAAATAATTTATGGTTGCTTTGGGATGGTAGGATGACAGTGTGTAGGATGATAGTAACCCTTATACTCCTTTTATAGGTTGATTGCGATGACAGACGTTAGAATTTATGTTACGAGGATAAATTTAAGAAATTATATTAAAAATTTAAGAGTACGTAATTATAAAATTCTAGCAGTGTGAAATTAAATAATTTGTATAAAATACAAGAAAAATATCTAAAATATAAGAGAATTTAAAATTTTCGACCATCTTGTTGATGGATAAAGGCAACCCCATAATATACCTTACTTTAAGGGAGTGTTTGGTTCAGGTAATATGGGATTACCGGAGGAATGAAATGTCATTCCCCCGTTTAGGTGGCCAATAATCCTATTTCCCGGTAATCTTTTATTCTCAACAGTGGTATTTTTGGGGTATATTACCGGGAATGTAATTACCCCATTCCCTTAGGTATTGTTATATTACCGACGTTTTGGATAAAAATATACTTAATTTTTTTTCCCAAAAATTTCCTTTTTCTTTCGTTGAATAATAAAAATTCTACGAATGATAAATTATAAATTTATCCTTAAATTATTTTAGATTTACAAAAAAATCCATAATTAGAATTTTATATGAAGTCCAGGGTTAAAATAAAAATTTTACCCTTTCATTAAACCTATTTATCTTTTCAATTTTTTTATAAAAATTATATAAATTTTATGAATTTAAAATTTTTAAAGAAAATATATAAATTAATTATAGTAATATTATAGTAGAATTCAACTTGTTTAAAAAATAAATATATAATAAGGACAATTTGGTAAAATATATATTTCAGTAATCTTTTATTCCTTTAACCAAACACTGTAATCTTACATTCATGCTAAACGAACCAAGCGCAAAATACAACATTCTCAGTAATCTTATTCCCGCCGGTAATCCTATTCCCACTGATAATCTTACATTCCGTGAACCAAACGCAACCTAAAATTCTAAATTTTAAATAAAAATATAATAAAATTGATTCAATTTTTCTAATAAACTTAAACTCTTAGCTTCGATTGTCTTAACCTCTAATTATTTGAAATTCGAAGAAATAAAAGAAATTTAAATTCCCCTATTTAGACCAAGGTAAATCCGACCAAGACAAATAGATTTGCTATCGTATCGTAGGGATAGAGCCAAAATCAAATATTCGAACAGATAAGGTACTTAATTTCAAAATAATAAGCATTTATTATGTATTTAATCTAAAAGTGTAGGGAGACAAAAGTCTAAATTTACTTAAATTTAAATTGATAAAGACCTAAAATGCGATTAAACCAAAACTTTTGAGAGGGGTAACAGTCCCTCCCACTCCACTTATAGCTCCGTCTTTGTGTACCATCACATTCAATCTGAACTTGAATTCCTTTGACTTTGATCTTGTATATTGGTGGTCTATTATTCCCGTCGTATTTAAAAGGATTCGATCTCAAATCCGAAACATCAAACGGAGAAACATAGTCATACCAAAGTAAGAATTCACATTAACATCGATTCAACTGTTCGAACTAATAATCTCAAGATTTTATCGAACACGTCTATTAGGCCACCAATTTTAGGGTGTCAAGTGTCAAAAAAATATAATAATCAGATCAATGAATTTCAATCCCACATCAGACTTGATCATCTGATTTGACTCACTCATTTGACCATGACTCGACCCATTTGACCCAAGTTGTTTGACTCAAATCAAAGAAACCATAAGCCTGCAAGAGAAGGTCATAGAGACTAAGGCCCAATATACTCAATCCAACGTAGAGGCCTGGTAACTTGGATTAATATATCAATTAGGCCCTAAATTTAGTAATTGTTTTTGGTAAAGTACACTAGAGGTCCTTAAATTATGCTCAAATAGTTTCTTAGTTATTCAACTTTTAAAAGTTACAAAGTGAATATTAATTTTTGTCGAACTATTATAAAATAATTATTAAATTTGTCAAATTGTTATAAAATAATCATTGTATTTTATTGGACTTTATAAAATGATCAAATTATTACAAAATAGTCATTAAATGTATCAAATTTCATGATCATTAAAAATATCACGATGGTCGTTTTATAATAATTTAATAATAATTTTATAAAATTTAAAAAGTTAATGATTATTAAAATGTAAGACATTAATAATCTCCTGACTATATGACATTATTTTATCGAGTTTTGCAATTATTAAAAGTTATAAAATAGTCTATTGACTATAGGACGATGCTTTGTTTAGTCTCTCGACTATTAAAAGTTACAAAATGACCACTCAACTATTCATATGTTTCAAACTTATCATTTTTTGTTTAAAAATTGATAACAATTTAAGTTGGACGTTAATTTATTGGTTGATATATGATAATCGATAGAAATTTTGGGATCATATTTTGTCATATGACCTTCAGCAAGTTAACGTGCAACTCAGACTGTCATCAAATTTTGAACATAAAATGACGATTTTAGAACATATAAATAATCGAGTGATTATTTTGTAAAATTTAATAGTCAGGGCTCAACAAAGCAATGCCATATAATTAAGGGATCATTTAGTAACTTTTAATAATCATAGGACTCAACAAAGTAATATCTTCATGCAGGCTATCAATTTGAATTCGAATACGTAAACTCGGTTCATTTAATAATACGAAAACAAAACATAAGATTTTACGTAAATGTAGTGACTGATCTAGAAATTTTTTTAGGGTTGGCATACATATTGTAACAATATAAATTTTTTAAATGAGATTAGTACAAATAAATTTTTAAATGGGATACCGTCTATAAAATAAGTAATTAATATAACAAAGCTTAGATTTCAGGATAGACGCCGTCAGTAATATAAGTAACTAATCGAAGAAAATTCAGATTTCAATGTCTACCCTCATCGATCTGTGCTCCGCCACTGTGTAAAAGGATAAAATTTATTTTAAATTATATGATGTTTAAAATATATAAAATTATAAAATTTAATAAAAATATATAAATTATACAAAAAATTAAATATTTTAAAAGAATACATTCTGTCGTGAATTCAGATATTATAGAATTTTGTAAATTCCCTGTTGTTGTCTTCCCAACCGCAACGTAGTTACGTACGAAAGGAGAAGCGGTGAGATTTCGGTGGGGGAAAAGAAGACCATTGCTATGGATGAAATAAATTTTAATCCATTAATTTGGTAAGTTTTTTAATTTAATCCCTGATTTTTTTTCATATTAGTCATGAACTTATCAATCTTCTTCCTTTTTAGTCATTTTTGGGTTGTGATTAGCAGTAATGGATCGAGGGGACGATGAAGACAGCCGCCCTCTTGAAATTTTAAAATTACCATATATTTTAGATTTTTTATATATTTTTTTATTAAAAATCTATTTTCAGACCCCTGAAATTTTATAAGCTCTTCATTTTTTTAAAATTTTAGAAATTCATCACGAACATAAAATTTTACGTCTGACCCTGATGATCAATATTATACTAAATGCCAGCTGATTAAAGAATATTAAAGACCAAATTGAGAAAATCATAAATCACAGTGTCTAAAAGTTAGTTTATCCCATGTTTTTCCCCCTTGTGTTTTTGTGCAGGAATCAAAAGTGAAACTTGTCTCTCATGCAGAGCCTCAGGTCTCGAAGTCATCCTCCCACGTGTCTCCACAATGCACCTTCGCTTCCATTATAAAATCCCACATCGACCCCATTCTTCCCTCAGTCTATCTTCTACCCTTCATTTGTCGCTTAAAAGACCCTAAAACAAAATTTCATCAATGGCTGACCGTGACCGTGACCGCTCTATCCAGGCCCAAATCCACCCACAGCACCGGTTCGACCAGGTCGTTCGCGGCGGCAATTACTATCAATCCGGCGGAGGACCCTCAACAAGCAAAGTCCTAGCAGCCCTCACCCTCCTTCCCGTAGGTGGAACCCTCCTTGCATTAGCCGGCTTAACCCTAACCGGCACCGTCATCGGCCTAACCGTGGCGACGCCGCTCTTCGTCATCTTCAGCCCGGTTCTCGTCCCGGCCGCCCTCACGATCACAATGGCGGTGTTCGGTTTCTTGTCGTCGGGCGCCCTGGGAGTGATCGGGCTGTCGTCGCTCTCTTACGTGTTTAAACGTTTGAGGCCGGGTACAGGGGGCGAGCAGGTTGACATGGATTGGGCCAAGAGGGGCATGCAAGACCTGGTGGGGTATGCAGGGCAGAAGACCAAGGAAGCCGGGCAGAAGACGAAGGAAGTCGGGCAGAACATCGAGAACAACTACAAGAGCCATGATCAGGGCGTCAGGGCTTAGTGCTTGCATGTAGTAGAATGCACTTAATTACTGTTGTTTTTCATTTTCAAGGGTCAGTTTGTTGTCTTTGTTAATTTGGTGCACGTTGAATCTAGCCTTTGTACCAGGTGTGACATAATGGGTAATAAATAATACTCCTATATGTTATGTATTGTGCTATTTCTTGTGCACTTTCAGAGCTTATATAATTTAAAGACTTTATTTTTAAAAAAAATAGTTAGATAAATATAAAAACAAAAAAACAAAATTTCACGTGAATTTTATTTTATTTTCGATTAACTGTTGTTTACAAGTGGTAGTTTTTGTTTAAAAATAGTTGAAGTTTCACTGAATGAGTGACCTGTCGACGCCGGCCCTGCCGGCGGTTTCTATTCCACCATCTCTTGAACAGTCGGGCTCTCCTCTACCGGCTGAGAGTGTGAGGGCCTCAAAGAAGGGCGAGAATTTGACCAAAGCGCAAAAAACTTCGTTTCATTGGATGGGAACTCCTCGGCAACGGGAGATGTGATTATGGGTGATAATGAGACCAGTGTGGCTGGAGGATCTCGGTTGGGGCAAACGGATGGACAAACTTTGTCATTCGCCGAAGCCCTACTGGGGAAACAGTTGGGACCTCAACATTCTTTTTCAGCCATAGAGGACTTTGATGTGAGTCTCCAGGGAGGGGACGTGGAAGTTGATCGCACGGGCCCTTACCCCACGGTGAAGTTCTCAGATAGGGTTCATGTTGCAATCGATACTACTGTAAATCCCTGTTTCGTTTGATAGCGGCTGAGATTGGCAAAGTTATTAAAATGGATTATAATACAACAGCGGGGGAAAGGGGAAGGTTTGCTCGCCTGGCTGTTACTGTGGATCTTAATAAGCCGCTACTGCCATTTATAAGCATTGACAGCTTTGTCCAAGCAATTAAATATGAAGGACTTGAGAACATATGCTTCCATTGTGGGGTCTATGGCCACTCTCAAAACTTGTGTGGGTTCAGGCAACAAAGTGGAATGGAGAAGAGCGCTGAAAGTTCTGAAGGTCAGGTCCAAATGCCGAATGAATCGGGTTGCAAGGAAGACCTATTTGGACCTTGGATGGTGGCACCGTCGCACAAAAGAAGGCCAAGGAAATCGAGTAATACCGATCAGGTTGGCGAGAAAGAACCAAGAACGAAGATTATTTGCTTTGAACCAAGAACAAAGTGAAGGTGTCTGACATTCCTCGGTTCAGGACGCTGGAGTTAAGTCTCCAATCTTGTCTGCTCAGTCATTTGGCAGACCTGATAAAACTATTCTCGGGTTCAAGGCTGGAGAAATTATTGGATGAATTGAGTAATTACTTTTCTTCCCTTACAACAGACCAAATGCTTGATTCGGAGGAGAAAAGTTCATTACGGAGTTCTTGCTGGAAGTGTCTCGATCAGTGTCTAGATGAAGCAATCTCCGACTCTCTAAAATACATTAAAAATATCGAAAGGTGCATGGAAGTGATTTTTTCTCTTTTACCCTCACCCAAGTCTTCTGCTAATGTGGAAGTGAATCAGTCGAACTTGGTTGAGTGGTCCGAGGCGGTTAGGTGCTTGGCAAAGGCTCGGCAGGGCTGGTTATTGGAATTTCTACATGTGTGAACATTTTCCTTGCAAATTAGTTACTATTATATCCTAAAACACGCTCTTATTTGATCTGTTAACCATTTGTTCATCACAGGTTTCACATTTAAATTCAGGAGATGTCACCTTCGCCGAAGTTCTAAAAAGGATTCAAGCTAAAGCCAAGCTAGTTCGAACTGGTTCCATCCCAATGGCTGAACTGGGAAAATCGAAGTCTTATTTACTGAATTCAGAACCACTTGGTTAGTGTTCTTTTCTACGAAAATAAAATTCTGGCACCTGTAGCAAACATTTGCTTGTAGTCGCAAGGAATCATTCCGACAAACTTACAACATTTTGTATTCAGGTACCTGGGGCGTGCTAATCGAAGTTGTAGCAACTTTACAGCATGTGGAGGGAAGCGTAAAAAGACAATGGCTGGTTGACGCCGTCGGCGTTTCAAGTTATCCTTCCACGGTAGGCACTAATCTCTCGATAAAAATGACCCGATTTACCGCTTCCTCTGCCATGCACATAGGCTCTCTCTATTCAAATCATTCAAGATAGTTGAACCATCTGGTTTAACCAATTGAACTAGAAACCGAAGGTTCAACTGATTCGACCTCTTGTTCGGTTTTGTCGACCATATTTGTTTGGTTCTGGTGGCTTGCCGTTTAGGCTAGTGGATAGAAGGGATGAAGAAAAATAAATTTTGATATCATCTATTCTTCATTGCTGAAATAATTGAAATCCGCATTAATCGACCTGCAGGCACTGCAGTTTATCGGACTTCTATCTGGGTCCTGCTGCAAATACATGCCCCTTCTCATTGCAGATCGATCATATGTTCTGAACGACCTACCGGTTACTCTTACGTCTCTCTTGTCAGACCCGAACTGGGAAGTGATTGCAGAAAGCTTTACTTCTTATCTTTTGACATCGACGGAACGGATTTACAGTTGGGCTATGAAACTATCATCGGATGAGGCATTACCGGGTTCGCAAGCTATCGACGAGAGTGAAAACGGTATGGCTCAGATACTATTGCCTGTTATGCACCTTGCATGTGTTTGCTTGAAACATTACTTGCCTCTAGACAAGCAGCTTAGACTTGCAAACATGGTTGTTGATTAAACAAACATCTCTAGAATCCATTAAAGGTCAAAGCTTAATGTGATTTTGTTGTACAATATTAAAGTTCTCATCTTTTACATCTTCGTCTTTATTATGGACGACATCTTTTGTGCGACACCAGACGGTGTTCCATGGTGTATGCTTTTCGCTGACAATATTATCCTTGTTGTTGAAACAAAAACTGAGCTGAATAATAGACTGGCTGTCTGGAAGACTGCTTTGGAAGAAAAAGGTCTAAGGATCAATATTCAAAAGACAGAGTATTTATGTTCAAACTTCAGTGGGAACCAAAACGATAAAGATGTAGAAGTATGCATAGAAGGACACGTTATCCCCTCAAAGGAATGTTTCAAGTACCTAGGGTCTATGATACATAAAGATGGGATGTATATGATGACGTTGCACATCGTATAAAGGCGGGATGACTAAAGTGGATGGCTGCTATTGGAGTTTTGTGTGACAAGAAGGTGCCTCTAAAACTTAAGGGAAAATTTTATAGAATGACAATAAGACCAGCGCTGCTGTATGGATCAGAATGTTGGACAATCAAGAATGATCACATAAGGATGATGGAGGTCGCAGAAATGAGAATGCTTCGATGGGCATGTGGTAGGACTCTGTGGGACATGACACCAAACTCTGCTATTAGGATGTCCTTGGGGATGGTGTCTGTATCCGAAAAATTGAGGGAGGGAAGACTACGGTATTTTGGGCATGTCCTTAGGCGAAGACCGTTGGATGTGGTTAGGAGGGTAGAGTCGATTACAGTCGATGGTGCCAGAAGGAGAGGACGACCAAGGCGAAAGTGGGAAGACTGCTTGAGATCTGATTTGAAGGATTTAGCCATTACCGAGGACATGACTTCTGATAGGAAAGTATGGAGACTTAAAACCATGGTAGCCGAGTAGTACAGATCACAGACATAAGGTGTAACATCTCTGTCTTCTTTTTAATGCATTTGTAATAATTTCCATGACTTCTATTTTATATGCGTTTATGTAATTAGAATTTATGAAGGTTTAGAACTAGGGTAGCGGAGAAGTGTTGCCTCAGTTTAGGTTGTAACCCATTTGACTTTATTCCTTCTCGTAGCATGCTATCGTTGACTATTGTGTATCATTCTCTTTAGGTTTCCTCTTTTTAAATTTAGTCGGGTCTTACGTTTCTGTCTATATGCAGAGATTTTTACGCAGTGATGTATTTGCAGGGATTACTTCCCATTACAGATGTGCATTTGAAGACTGTATATGAAGATTGTTCAACTATGTATTTATTTATTTATTATACATGCATTGCATTTTATATTTATTTTTAATTTTCTGATTGCCGGAGGTCTTCCACGGAAACTGCTCTCAATCCTGACGTTGGGGCAACCTACTACCCTACCTCCCCTTACCCCATTGCATATGAGAATAGGGTTTTATTGTTGTTGTTTTTTCTTCTTCAACTAATATAATCTACTCATCTTTTGGAAATTATTATAATTAATGTTAATATTTAAGATAAATTACACATTTAGTACTTAAATATCAATTTTGGTCCATTTTAATACCTAAACTTTTAATTTTTTTAAAAATCATACCTAAAGTTTGATATTTGTTTCATTTTAGTTTTTTTTTTCATTTTAGTACTTTAGTTTAAAATTTATCGTTAAGTTTTTAGTAGCGGATACTAAAATAAAATTAAAACTAAAGTTTGATATAATTTTGAAAAAATTAGAAGTTTTAAGTACTAAAATAGACTAAAATTGATATTGTAGGTACTATATATGTAGTTTACCCTAATATCTAAATTAGAAAGATTAAGTATTACCACTAAAGCAAACTGAGATTGTCAGTGTCATATCAATCTACACATTTTTTTTATTTTGAAATTGATACGGTATTATCAATGCCTTGAATTTTAAACATATATTGTAACCAAAACACAGTAATTGTACGTGCAAATATGCCTCAATTATATGTGAAAAATATATATTTATATGCAAATATGAAATTAAAAATGATTAATGAGCTTCAATAACTCTAAATTGACAGAAATAAATCAAAATTGACTAAAATAAAACCTAAACTATAAATTTATCTGAAACTAAACGCAAGCAGTTCAAAAGATTAAAAGAGTTGCACTTTTTTTTTAACATATAATCCCAGTGATGAAACAATACAAAACTAGAGAAAGAAGATGAAATTTCAGCTGACTGTGCGTGAAAGACTCGGGAAAATTAGAGTTTCAACAGATTGAATAATTTATTTACCTGTACAAATCCCAAAAAACGAGTCCCGGTCCTCAACTTGTGTCACCTTTAGGCGACTCTTTCATGCTAGATGTCGGGGATGGACTCCGCTCCGAGGCTTCAGCCGATTCCATATGCTCAACGAAGCTCTCAAGGTCCAATTCCCCGGATTCCCCATTGCCTGAAGCAGCAGCGACTTCTTGGGCAACGCTGCATGCTGATTTTTCTTCTGTCTGGCCATCGGCTTCTAATGGTTCCTCGGGTGTGGAAGATGGAGTTTCTTTGCTATGAGGGTTACTGTTAGATGTAAGCCATTTGAACTGCAAATTGTGTCCTTGCCAGCATTTACCATTTATATAAGCCCTTTCCGCTGATTGGCGAGTGCTGTAAGTTACAAGCGCCGAGCAATTCTTCAATGGCTCTGATCCGGTATTACCGGCATCTTCGTTTTCCAAGTCTTGTAGTTCCACAGAGAAAAGATCTCCACACCGTAAGAAGTGCTCCTTCAAAACAGCAACCTAGTGGACAATCAGACATAAGTTACCTCTCATTGACAACAACAAAGAGGTTTCCTCGAAAAGCATGCAAGAGATTATACTCAAATTTCAATGTGAGAACTTAAAGTTCTCTATTCATTATCAACTGGCTTCATTGCACCTTTGGAGTTATTCATCCGCATAAAATACCAGAGTAAATACAATTCTCAGATGAGGAAAAGGAGAGGGTGACTCACATCTGCAAAACCAGAAGGCAATGGTGGAATAACTCTAAACGCAATTGGTCGGTTGTCCAATTTGTATTTATTCATCGGGAATGGATGCCTAATAAGTGCACACAGATGAGGCTTCCGAGACTGCTGCTTTGAGCTTGTAGATTCCTGCAATGCCATAGAGGTACTAGGTTTTGGACTTTGAGACGCACCATTCTCAGTCAATTTGTTCTTATCTGTCATCCCTATAAAGTATGGTTTTGCTGCAGGAGCACCAGATTCAGAGGAACCAGGAATCGAAGCTTTTGCAGGATCAGCTGCAATACCCACCTTTTGCCTCTTAGCAGCTGGCTCAGTCAGTAGATCTCCCTTGACAACACTGGACTGCAAAAGATTGAAATAGGATCAAATGTTAAACCTACATTTACATTTTAAAACCCTAATTTTCTGTTCCATCATTCTCTTTCTACTCATGTCGGCATGTGTACGTAATCAAACTATTGGAAAATAAAATGCATGCATGTTTGACGACGACGGTTAGGCAAGGCAAATAGCCAACAGTTAAGTTTTTCACATGACTTGGCTACAGAATTATGTACCATTCAACAAGACCATGAAAACATGCAACTTCCAAACCTGATTTCAACACACAGCAATTCTTGTGACCATGTAAAATATACTCGAGAAGTGCATGTTTAGGAAAATTGTATATAAAATTAAAGAAAGTTATTAGTACTTGTTTCTCAAGTTTGTCCAACTGGCGCCAAAAGTTGTTCCGCTTCTGCTCCAGCATTTCCTGCTTCTTGCGTAATTCCTCTTTCATTTGTTCCAGAGCGTCTAACGTTTTCTGCAATGGAGGTGGAGCCTGGGGACCATTCATACTAACAGGTTTAGGCGAGTTCAGAGAAGGCGTATCGGCACAATGGACAACATTACTCTTCTGAGTCTTATAAAAAAAAACATTACTCTTCTGAGCAACAGGAAGAAGATTATCCTTTCCTCTATTAGCAGCAGGTTGAGCTGGAATAGCAGATGCTGTTATACCACGTGGATTTACAGGTACGCCACTGCCACTTTTTATTCCATCAACAGGTATGTTATCCCGATTAGCCCACCAAAGCTTAATAAAACGGTTACCCATTACAGCATCAGGTGCCTTCAAAGCAGCTTCGGCCTCTTCCCTCCTTGAAAACTGGACAAACGCCCGTTCACCATTTAACGGAATGTAAATGTCAATAACCTCTCCGAACTTACGAAAATGAGAAAGAAGAGCCTCTCTTTTGTTGCATTTCTGGGGAATCCCGTTGACAAACAGCGTATGAAGTGCCTTTTGTGTTACTTTTCTGCTACTACGAAAATCAATCCGCGGCTTCAATGAAGAATCCATAACTTTGGAGCCATCATCCTCACTGTTGATCTGTTTGACCTGACAAGAAATGTCTTGAGAGCTGGGAAATGCTCCTTGTTCTTCCTTGGTTTCATTCTCAGGATGGTCCAAGGTTATTGGACCAATTTTGTCTTTTGTGTCTATTCCACTTCTGGAGCTACCAACTCTACCCCCAACAGACAAATTCATGCTCTGTGACCCGGTGCTTCTAATCGTCAATTCATTATCAGCACTATCACGTAAGCAGTCATGAGGACGATCAGAGATGTCATCATTTGGCAACGGTTCTGTTTCATTAGTCTTGGGTGACCGAAGTCCAGTCAGTGCGGCTGATGCTTCTGGGCCATTGTTATTCCACAAGGGTTGATCAGGATCATACAAATCACCATTTGCACTAGTAGAACCAGAATATGCACCATACAAACCTACAGCATCCTCCGTAATTCCAGATTTGTTATTTTTGCCATGTATACCTTTGCTGTTCATCGAAGTGGTTGAAGGAGGAAGGCCTGAAGGTGGTGGCCCCGGGCCAGCAGGTTTTGCCAATATTTGTGCACTTGGAACTGTGACAGGAAGGTTAAACTGTGACAGACTCTGCAAATCGAAAAGAAAATTACCGTCAACTCAGATACACGGGGAATGCTAAATCTATCAAGGTTATAAAAAAGAATTTATGCTGAGCAAGAAACTTTCCTACCAAGGTAATTTGGATTGCAAGCAATAAATATGAGAACATTTCGGAAAATTAGAATATTTAGACTAAAATGTAAGGGCGAGGCTGAGGTTAGTATTGCAGCATATAATGCAAGTATATTGCCAACAAGCATTTAAAAGTTGTTAAAACGGAAAATTTTAGCATTAAAAAAAATTAACACACTGCTCATCATTATACTTTTTGAGGGCACCAAAGAAGGTAAGCTGGATGAACAATCTCCCTAGCTGGTCCTAAGTGAAATTACATTGCCATATGGCATGTATATATTTCCTAAAGGCTCATGGAAAACTGCATAAGCCTCCACATGTCAAAATCAGGATAGACATTAGCAAAATGCATACCTGAACATCTTCCACAACAATACGATTGACACCATGCTCCATTGGGCACATATCTCCTCTTAGACAAAATCCACGCTCTTCAAAATCTCTGCAACATTGGCGAGGAATGGCCATATCCAATGAAGAATTCATCGGCGGCCTGAGCACCCCTTGTAGACCAATAGAATGGAGCGTATCAAGACCACCATTTGGTATTCTTGACATTAGCCCAAAGGCACTCCATGATGGGGCTTGTGCATTTGAAAGATTCAGCAATCCCCTTCCCGCAAAGAGACCCGGAGCAACTGATCCTGGCTGAACCATTTGATAAGAAATATCAACAGAGTTGAACCTAGAATCATGTTGATTCCAAGCGGAGTTATCCCTTCCTCTTCCACGGCCAGGACCACAATCTCCGCTGAACGTTTGGTTTGGCCTAATTCTCTGGTTCAGGTCCAAATGTCCTCGAGGAAGTGATGATAACCCAGGGAATCTTCTATCAAACTTAGGTCTCAAGTCTTTTTCTAGAGGCAAACTGTTAGAATTTTTCCAGGTTTCACCTGCTTGAGATTCATTATGCCCATTTTCAAAGGGTTTATTGCGCTTTCTGTATGGCCTTGTAAATAAAGGATCTGTAGAATCTCTCTCTAAAGGTTGAGAGCATGTATCCCGCCGACGATGCTTATGGTTGCGATCATCATCTTCTTCATCACTAACTTCTTTCTCCTCAGGTTCACTTATGCAATCAGGAGGAGAAATACCACCGAGCTCAGGCGATGAGACTTTCACCTTCATCAGATCCTTTTGAAATAAATAATATATTTGTATCCTTTTACAGCATGCAAAGCACTAAACTCAAACCAAATGAAGCAGTCGTTCCCTAGATAAGAAATTTGGAGGAAAATATCTGAAGAAAGGAAAGAGTTTAGGTAGGTACTAACAGCATCAAACAACATAGAAGAAAGCTTATGCAAAAAGAAAAATTAAATTGCAGATATTAAGGTCATTTACATCACCAGAATGCCCGTAGGAAAAGAAACATGTTAACATTAAAGACAAATAAAAATGTAAAAAAAAAATTACAAGACCAATAAGACAAAGATGTTAAATCCATAAACAAGTAAACCCCATAAACTTATCATTTTACTTCTTTGTTTGATATCATATTTGTCCATCGAGCAGAAAAATCTATTTTTAACATAATTTCTACTGCACTTATTATGATAACCATATGTCCAAATGAATCATATAACCCATAGCCTTTAAAACCATAAATCAATTTAGGGAAGCAAGGCAAATGAGATAGCCTCTATAAACAAGTTGACTATATTTTCAAATGCCTCTGAAGTCGCTCATATTTCCATAACCCGATTTTCTACCCCAGGAGTCAATTAAAGAATATTAAGTTCAAAGCTCACAAACTAAACTTTCATAGCTTTATGATGAGTGGTTTCCATTGGCTCAAATCCAACACTTGAAGTCTATAATTCAAATCCTTCTACCAAAATAACAGAACCAAAACCAAATACGGCTTAGCCTCTATAGTTCGATTCTAAAACAATATTAATTAGTCTCCACAAAGAACATCTCCAACACTACTTTTGTGTTCATTTTATATTTTCTACAAAAGCGTTACTCCTATAAACTACAACGAATAACTTATGTTCAATAAAACCTCCTTTCAAAGGCCGAAAACGCATCTTCACATAAATACCAAAGAACACACCAACTAAACCAAATGCCATGAACAAAAACACCACGAGTATTGCTGCGTTTTTCATGATGCTTAACTTCATAACAGAACTAAAAGTTACAGAATATAATTGAATACCTCTATGGAACTGCTTCTGCACTCTATATCGCTTCAAACCTATCAAAATGACACAACAAAATTCGGGATAACCGATTTCTTTGTTCCTTGAGCATGAATCTTGATTAGTAACCTAGAGACAACAAGCTCAATAGAAACAATTCTTTAGTTAAACTACATTAACGCCGAAAAATACGAAAATCTTACACGCAAATTCAGTCGAAAATCAAGGGGAAAATATAGAAACAAACCCTAATCCGAAAACTATTAAAAATTCGTAAAAAGAAGAGCTCAAATAAAGAAAGTTCATGTGTATCCAATTACATAAATGAAATTTTAATAATTAGGGGAAAAATCAAAACGAAATTAGGAATCTAGGTTTGGCAGAAAAAAAACAATAAGCAATAAATAAAATCTGTACAATAGTAGGCAAAAGGGAACTTACATAATATTCTAGAAGAACGGGACGAACAATGCCTTCGGAGCTATCGTCTGATTCCGGATCCAATACGACCCGACTCGAAAACGAGAGAAGGTAAATTACGATGCGACGGATGGGTATTTCGGGGAGACAGAAAAAAGGCAGGCCGGAGAGACAGAAGGCGGTGAATGGCGTGATCGTAATAAAGTAATAATCCAGGGGGTAGATTTTTAATTCGGACGTTGTTTGTCCCGAAGGGAAAGAGAGAATTGTGAAGGGAAGAAGAAGAACGTGGGACAAAACTTATTTCAGGACGCAGTCGAGAAAGGAATATTTTCGTTTCAAGCCCTTATATTTTTACTCTCATTTGTGTTTGCCCCCAACAAAAAAAAAAACCATTGTTTTTTAAATTCAATGATTAGTGTTTCTCTTCGCCTTCGATGATAACGGGAAAACAAATCGTTCGACTCCGATGAAAATTACCTCCGGATTCAGGAAACAAGAAAAACATTTCAAGTATTTATTACATAATTCAGATCAGATATTCAAGAAGAAAAATAGGGATATGAATCATGCAAATTATGATTTTGGATTATCTAAAACTCTGATAAAATTTAAGTTTTTATAGTTTATACAACCTCTAGGATGAATAATTGTTTATTGTGGGTGAAGCTTATGCGTTTTTAGAACAGTTGGATGAATAAAAATAAACTTTCGATTATAAGACGTTGCTTTGTTGAGTCCCCAACTATAAAAGTTACAAAATGACCTCTGATTATAGGATGCTATTTTATTTAATTCCACGAGTATTAAAAATTACAAAATGACGTTGTAAACATGGACAACCTCGTTCAAATTGGAAAAGACATGTTAAATAAACCGTTGTCGAGGGTCAATATGGAGACCAGAAGGTTTGAAAAAGTTGAAGGAGGAGGAGGAATCATCGTCATCAATAGAGATGCTCTTGTCCAATTTGCTAAGAAGCTCTCCCTGAACAGGAAGCACAGGCTTGCTCCTTAAATCACCTCTGAATTTTCAGAGTAATAAAGCTTTCCTCCCACATAAGGCCATTTCCCTTTTTCTTAATAATGTTGGTGTGTCGGAATAATTGTGAAGATCAGTTTTGATCTTTCTAATAACCGTTGTTGTTGTTGCTGCTGCAATTATGTGATGAAAACCAAGTCTAATGATGAGGTGTTTTTTATTTGATTTGCATATGTTTAGAAGGTTTTTTTAGGGAAACTACATCATATACCATCGGATTTTAGGTGTCATATCGTTTATACCTTTGAACTTTCAATTTCGTCAATTACAGAATTAGACTTTGATTTTCGTTTCAATTATACCACTAGATCGTTAAATCGTTAACAACCGGATCAAAACGACGTCGTATTAGTGAGGTATTTACGCCGACAATCGACATGCCGTTAACGATTTAATGATTCAGTTGTATAATTGAAATGAAAATCAAAATTCAATGCTATAATTGATAAAATTAAAAGTTCAATAGTATAAATTATACAACACATAAAGTTTTATGTTTGGAGGTATATGATGTAGTTTACCCTTTTGTTCATTACTTCTCCAACAAATAATTTATAGGCAAAAGGGTACACAAAGCCTTTGAACTTTTAAAATAAAATCAATATGACTCTTGTACTATTTTTTTCTCCAACTAAAAAAAATTCCTAATGTGACACTCAATGTGATCTTTTGATCAATATTTTTCGTCATTGACTAACGACTCCATCAATTCCTGCTAACGTGGATGCTTTCTCAAATCTGTTACGAAGGGAATACTGCTTATGATTGTTAGTAGAGACGGAAATAATCAGTTTTCAGTTACATGGACAATTGTTAAAAGGGAAGGAAAAGAATAATTAAGATATTTTTACAGTAACTTATGGTTGACTTACAACATCCTAATGGCAAATAACTTATATTAATGTTAGTTAATGACGAAAAACGTTGATCCACATTAAGTTTTTTTTTAGTTGAGGGAGAAAAAATATAAATAATAATTTTAATTATTAAAACTTAAATTTTTATTATATAGATTACGCGATATGACAATAAAAATAACAATAATATTTTTGTCAATTTTTTCATTGAGAAAAATGATTTGATTTCTTTTTAAAAATTTAATAATCAAAATTAATTAAAAAATATATATAAATATTGACTATATTTATCTTTATGATTTATTTTAAAAAATGCATTTGATTGACTAATTACAGCCAAGAGAATCAATTATGATGCAGAAAATGCAAACGTGCAAACGTGCAACCTCGCCCCCAACTTTCAAACTAAAATCAATATCAATACCAACAATCGGTTAGTCTAATAAGATAAGAGATTAAATTTTTTAAACAAGGTTAGAGATTTGAACTCAGACGATTGCGTATGGAGTAAACTAAGTTGAGAAGATCTTCTCAATAATATGTCTATAAAACCCGATTTAAATTAGTCAATCATTTGACAATAAACGCTCATACCCTTACATCCACGGTGCTCAAACTCGGGACCTCAAGAGATGCCAATGAGTCTCTTAATCACTAAGTTCACTTGGTTCACGATCTTAATTGTTTAACTTATTTTTAATAGTCTGAGATGATTATAATGTAATATCGATTCGGAATTTTTTAATCAGTTGACAACGCATACAACCTACAAACACAATTACTCGAATCCACGACCTCTAAGAATAACAATATAAATCAAAAAAATGTTATGTTCAGACAATAATAAACATGCAAGATAAATCCACAAATAACACTTCACATGAAATCATTGAGTCCTTTGCATAAGTCTAACTAAGTCTAGTATTCGACAATAATCGTAGAAGAGAGAAGATTCCTTACCTTCAAGCCCATCCCGGTGATGTCTATTGCTTCCAGCAAGGTTGTTACATGGGCTGCCGCCGACAACAAGGTCGAATCCGCCGTATCTACTCATCAATTGCTCCAACCGATCACCATTCAGTTCTTGCACATCCGGTATATCGATTAGTGTCCCATGCTGATTTGTTTGCTCCCACCAACTCCGAACAATGTTTCTATTCACTTCCGATTTTTCAACCGATACAACGGTCTTCAAAGGTATGCGGAGACGGTGGAGGGCAACCTCCGCGCCGCCAATCCCGGAGAAAAGAGACAGGACATTGATACCACCAGGGTACATGTCCTTTAAGACTGAAAGATGATAAGCCACCGTATCGACCTGAAATGAAATTATTCTATAAGCATAGCACTGCAAGCATATATGGATCATGTATCCTAGAAACCAAAGAGTCACATAAGAACGATCAAATTGATAACGGAAACATTATCGATCGACATACTTGGAACGAATTACCGAGCGATTTAATTCTCTCCGTCCGACTAGATCCTCCGCCTCGTGTATGGTTTTTAGGGAAACCGAGAAGCATTTCGACCTCATCAGGTTCAAGTGGAGCAACCTTGTTCCTTCCAACCCATACTAAATTCCATTTCCTGCACTCATCAAGAACGTACTTCTGGACGTTCAAAGGCGGCTCGTCGTCGTAAGCCTCAAGAGCCTTTCGTATCCTTTCCGTCAATTTGGCACTTGCTGTACATGTTTGTAAGCAGTTCAGCTTCGTTCTTGGGTCCCAGCAAGGCCACCATTTCTTTGTCAATGGAAAAGCTTCATGAATGGTGCGGGGAGGAAACGGAAAAAGAGGAAATCTATTGTCAATGGGCAGATTATGGATATATCCCCTCTTCCGTGCAGCAGCACAAAAATACTTGGAATCGACAAACTCCGGCCCCACATCGTACAAGTACCGCGACATCTCGCTCCAGACGCCTACCGGAGCCATTGCCACGTTCTCATAGTAGAAATAAGGTGGTCCAATAGCATCTTCTGGGAGTGTTCTTTGAGTTATCTGACCTGGTTCGGTAGGAACTCCGAAACCGATCATTGGATTCGGAAGATGAACAACATTATCATCTTCGTTAAGAAGCTTCTTTTCAAGCTTCATCTGCTTCTTTCTTTTCCACAAATCATAGCCCATATTTCGCCTTTTCTTGTAATTGGGGTCATTGCAGAATGACTTCTATTTTGATTGGAAACAATACACAGCAATTTGACATATTTTGTTACTTGAATGCAAATATGAAAGAAAAACTACAAAGATTTACAATGGTTATTTCATGTTTGCATTCTTAGGAAGGGGAAAGAAACTACCTTATCTTCGACTGGAAAAAGTGCATCGGCAGCCTTAGCCATTTGAGCAGCACATATAAAGTCCGTCAACTCCACAATCGATGAGCGCGGACCTACGGTATTTAAAGAGTTAACGTTAAGGTACATCTGAGTGTTAGAACCGCACCCCTTTCAAAAAGGACCAGGATAACACCTCCAAAGTATCACAAACTTCTAAGAGTTATAGGGAGATCCAATCTGGAATTCTGGATAAATTATGTTACCTAGTGTTATCCCAACAACATCAATCAAGTATTCGCTTTCATGTGGTCTTATATTCGAGTTAGGTCCTTCACCTATTACCGATTGGTTTTAGGTTGGTTCTTCACATGGTATGAAGCTTAGGTTGTGTTTTTTAGTTCATCATTCGAAAAAAGAAACCACTCACCACATCTCGCCATGGCTACGGAAGCCTCCACCTCCGAGTAGCCCATTTTCGTCAAGTATAACAGTTTACTCGTCTCATCAAAATCAGGATTTACGATTTCCTAGAACATAGTATTAACATATGGTGACTTTTAGAAATGTTTACGAATCGACCGGACAATACATTTAAAGTCTGGATACCTCAGACTCGGAAGAACTATCGATATCTGTGAAATCATCGAGAAAGCTTCCTTCATAATTGGATGAGTTGTTATCAGAATCAACACGTTGCGCGGGAGCAGACTTTTCAAGAGCCTGCAAATTTTAGACTAACCATTCAATGATATAACAGAGAGAGTAAACAACTGATTCGCAAGACAATCTAACAAATCAGAAAGACACGCTATCGCATCAAAATCAAGATTATTCTTCATGTAAATTGGTTTCTCTCCCACAACAAGAGTATATGCTTCGGAAATAATTTATGCTATAAACCCGGTTCAGGCGTAGCTTACCGAATACGTCAACAGAGTCTCCAGTATCGTATCTGTATTTCCCTCTCCTGAAACAAGCAGGATCATAGATAAAGAAGTTGAGATGAAAAGTGAATGCTAATAAAACAAGAAAGGGACATACCATTTTCTTTAATTGCTTTGATAACCATTTCTTCAGAGAACCCCATCCCTACAAAATGGCCAATCAACTTGGAATTGGAAGAACTAGCCAATGAGCTCGCCTTCGTAAAAGAGAAATGAAGATACAATAAATTTAAGAAATTTAACAGTAAAAATTCTGCCAAGAGCATGTGCTGAAACATTCTCGCATCAGAGTAAATGAAATTAATAAGCATTATTAGAATAGGACATATTGCATTAACTCACAGAGTACTGAAGTAGAGCTTCAAGTATCAAGTTCGAGTTCTCCTCCCCTGGACAGTAGCAAAGCAAGATTATAAGCGAGCTCAAGATTGAAACTTATTCTCCAAGTAGAAAGGACTTAGAAGCTTTACCGTTTTCCTCGATTGCTTTCGCTACAAGTTCCTCGGAGAACCCCATCCCAACAAAATGATCGATTAACTTGGAATTCGTAGAACCTGCGGACGTGCTCACCTTGAGAAGATAAAGATTGATCATGAGTTAGTTGTATAGGAGAGAAGATTGTTTGCAAAAACAGGTATTTGAAGAATAATCAGAGTAGACACCAAATTCAAAAGACTTGAATCTAATGAATGCAACATTTTCATTGCTAAGGCGGCAAATGATGATGTTTCAACTAAGCCGATCAACGATACACCACCAACTAAACAGAATGCCAATTAAAAGTCCGAGCTTCTAATATAAGAAAGAGTTCAGACTTCAGAATAAAGCAGTACATGAGAAGAAGATGCAGAATTACAGAAACCTCTATTAACAAATGTCTTAATGGTCAATGCACCACTTTCTCAACTAGTTCCCATAAGTTGTCATCATCGATTACTATCACTAGCATAATGTGCATTATTTTTTTTAAACTGCAAATGAAAGAAAATTCAATCATAGACAATCCTTATAATCACTAAAAAGAATTCCTCTTAAAATCCAAATTAATACAGCAACTGCAATACTATTTATGAGCATGTACCTCTGTTGTGCCCAAAACAGCTTCCCCATTGGTAAGTGATACTCCTGAGCTAGAGGAGATGCCGTAATTATCGATTTCCAGTTCATCTTCGGTATCCCAGTCAAAATTATCAGCATCACCACCAGAACTATTTCGATCCTACAAAAATTGCAGATATCATGAAAAACCACAAAAATGAAAACGATACAAAAATTTAGAAATAAATAATTGAACTAAACAGTACCATTTCCCTTGAGCTTTAGTACAGCCAAAGAGCAGATTCTTAACCTGATAAAGAAACAAATGAGAACATATCAGAACCTATGTTTAAAACAATTTATCAACTGCCAATCTATGCTCAAGTTAATTCATGCAGCATATATGGAATTTATCATGAAGGAATGAAACCCAATGACTCCTATACAACATTAACAGCAACATGGATGAACCGAAAGGGATTGGCGGGCTTGGATTTTAAGGGTGCAAGGCGCACCGAGGCACAAAAAGACCCCTGGAGCCCAGGCGCAAAGCGCAGGCATGCACCTTTCGTATGCGAGGCGTATATTTTATGCTAAAAAGTTTATAAATCAATTCTAGACAATATCTACACTCATTACCCACCAGTTCACTCATGAAGCACTTAAACTCTTCCCCACACTCTATTCCTTCACCATTACTTGTCTCATCCTCAAGAGTTAAGAGCTATTTCTACAATTCACAAGACCCATTGCTTGTATACGCCTAAATTCATGCATTGTACAGCCTGATTTGTCTGCTAATATATGAATCCTCAAGCCTTGATTTTATGCAGTATATTAATTCTAGATTCATGCAAAACTACTCTTTTTGTGCGGTTTATACAACCAAGATTAATACCTTAATTCCGGCCATTTTATGCAATTTTACACCAGTCGACCTACTCTTTTTGTCTGCTAATATACACCTAGATTCATGCATTATACAGCCTAAAATAATGCCTTAACTCCAGCCATTAATGTGGCTCGTGTATTCACACTTCATTGCTAGATTCATGCATTATATATCCTAGATTAATGTCTTAACACCAGCCATTGGTGTGGCTCGTGTGTTCACACTTTAAAGCAATGAAATGTGTGTAATCTCCTGGCATGAATCAACGCCTTAACTCCTTCCATTAATATGGCCCGTGTAGTCACACATGATTGCTACTTAATATATCTATCCATTTATACTGCTTCAGTTCTCTCCTCTTTCCACTATATTGTCTCCTCTTAGTTTGTTTCTTTAGCTTTCTTTGATGTCTAAACTTTTAATGATCTTCAGTAACTGGTGTTTCTATCCCTTAGGTGGAAGAAGCGTGCGCCCATCGCCTAAAGCCCATAAACGCATGCTTCACATCACTTCCTGCAAAACGCTTCGCTCTAGTCAAGGCGGGCATTCTCTTTATCGCCTCTTTGCACCTCACGCCTAGGCATGCCTATGGCGCATTATTGAAAACCCAACTGACAGGGTTTAGGGTTTAATATTGACTTAAGGGTCACATTTGCCTAGACCAAATTCATCATTTTTATCTCTATTTTCGCATTAATTTACTTCTCAAAATTATTTAATTGTAAGTTAGTGTTTATAGGTAATACGGCTATAATTTAGGATTTAGGGTTTTTAGTTAGGGTTGATGTAATTGAGCAATTTCGAGTGTTAAATTGATAAAAAATACGATAGAGATAAAAAGTGATAAATTAAGTTTACTACATGTGCAAAAGTTACACTTTTGCCTTTAATATTTTATTTCTATATTGATAATCTGATTTTGCCATTAGAGGTATCTAAGTCTTTTTTATTTGACATAGAAACAACCATATCCTAAGTATCATGTGAAAGTTAAAACATCAAAATTAGTACGTAATTCTACAGATAAATAAATTGTTCTGAAAAGGATACTATGCTAAAATCTGATCTATTCTTTCCCGAGAAAACTGAAGCAGAAAAACAAAATTAATCGTTTCTCGGCAACCAAACAGAAAACGTAAAAAGAAACGCGCCAGGTAAACGACTAAGCAGTACAGAGATCAACTGAAACAAACAAACAATAATTTCAGATAGAATCAATATGTTAAAAGAAAAAAAGAAATTAAAACAAACAAAAAAAATCGAATACAATTATATTAATCTGATCCTGAAACATCTAAAAAAAATGCAGTTAAATTCAAACACTTACAAGGAACGGAGAAGTTAAATCATACAAGAAAACATTACCGAAATGAAGATTCTTGTTATTGGCTGTGATTTGTTAAATCATACAGTCTACGCAGGTAAACTTGGCAGCTTTTTATGTTTTCCTCACTAGGGGTAGCACGGAACCATACTGACGCTTAGGGTCTGTTAACAAACTGGCCAATGACTGTCCTTTATATTTGAATTAAATCATATTTAGGGTAAATTACACCGTATGTAAATTAACTATGTTTAAATAATCATTTTGGTCATTAAATTTTTTTAAATTATAAAATGATCATTTTAAAACTTTTAAAATTTTAATAGTCAAAATTTTAATTTCAGCATAATTCAATAATCTGGAATATACTTTATCATTTTTATTATAATATTTGTTATTTTATAATTTTCAGTAATTGGAGTTTTATTATAAATTTAGTAAAGGATCAAATGCAATTAATTGCACTTATATAGTTTACCATCAAAAAATATTTTAAATATGAATTTAGATAATTACCTTATTTAGAAGAGAAAAACTCCAATTAAAATAACTATATTTTTTAATAAAATCTTATATTATTATATAATATTCTTTGTACAACAAAAATTTAGGTCAGGGGTAGCTCACTCAATCCAGGGCCAGGGCATACCTAAGACTCAATTGAGATTTATATAGGAATTTACGGATTGCCCACCAAGAGTACCGGTGGTAGAATTCGAATTTGACCTTACAAGCTCAAATTCTTGAATCTCAACCAATTGTGTCAACACTCGTTGACATATTATTATATTATATATTCATGATAAAATATCAATTACATTAATAGAATTATTATTGTTAAATCTTTAGAATATATATTATCTTATAATTAGATTAATTAAGAATTCATGATATTTAAGAGTAAACAATTATTTATTAATTAAGTCTTAATTTAACTAATATTTTCTTAATATAGTAAATTTTAACATGTTTAAATATAATTATATTTGATTTAGGAGTTGTAATATTTATAAAACGATTTAGATATTATAAAAAAATATTTGAAATATCAGAAAATTATTTATTTTTATATTCATTTTATTTTCCACCTAAGTTTATGTGTATGACATTAACATTTCTCCTCTTTTGTTTAGAGTCCAGAGGACAACAATCACAACATAGATAAAAGAGAAAGCATAGGGTTTGGGGCGTGTTTGGCTAATGAAATTATTGGATTTTAGGTTTATTTTGTTTTTCGATACTAAATTGATTAATACACGAACCAAATCAGTTTAGTGGTCAAAAAAATAATTTTTATTTTTAAATGTCTCGGGTTTGAACACCAATAGCTTTCGCAAGGGTGATTAAGAGTTCATTATTAAATAATTGAGAATATATAAAACATATATTAATTTAAAATCATTTTACCTTAATGAAAAGAAATGACTTATATTTAAAGATTTCTACTAAAATGTAAAAAAAATTATTACTAAAGTAATCATTAAAGATAATAAAAATAACAAAAAAACTAAATCTTTAAATACATTCAATTATTAATATATAATTATTTTTGTTATATTTCTTTAACCAAACACGTAATTATTTTTTCTGAAAAACCACGTGACATTGTCTCCTATACTTTTTCTTTCCTTTTATCATGTCTTGAGATTCTAACTCTAAATAAATAGGGGTAAAAATGTAAAATGAAATAGATGATGAGCTGGATTCTATCATTCATTAAATACTTATTAAAATTTGACACACCTACCTCGATATTATAAATTTAGATATCATCTTTAAAATGTCATAATTAATTAACGGTTGATTTAATAAGATGAAATGTTAAATATTTTAAATAAAATTAAAAGTTTAATTTTAATATTACGAATAGAGAAATTTATAGTATTTAATATAAATTAATTAATCAAGAATTAATAATTATATTAAATAATTATCTTGATTTGTTTTTCGGATATACTTTGAGTATTATGATCGCAAGAAATAAAAGATCCCAATATGCAAAATGAGTAACCCCATTTATGTACTTTATCCTAGTAATAATATGTGTTATTCGATTTCGGGTAAATTATGAGTTTAGTATCTAAACTATCGATTTTGTTTATTTTCATTTTAGTATCTCACCATTCAAAATTTAACAATGCAGTTTTTATGGGTAAATTACATCGTCATCTCTCAACTATCTTCTCGATCCTATTTTAGTACTAAAGATTAGAAATTTTCAGTTAAACTACTCAATTTTTAAATTGTTCATATTTTAATCACTCTAATTTTGTTTATTAATAATTTTTGCGACATGATATTTTTATTATTGTTTTATCAATATATATAATTAAAAATAAAAAAATATGAAAGTTAGAATGATTAAATTAGGAGTAATATAATAGTTAGGTAATTAAATTAAAAAAATAAATTTTAACGACCATAATATGTATAAGAAGATAGTTAAGTGATGAATGATGTAATTTACTCATAAAAAAGGTACCGCGTGCAAATCACCCATTAAACTTTTAACGGCAATATACTAAAATGAAACAAAAACTAAATATTATATTTGATTTTGAAAAAATAAATTTTAGATATTAAAATGGACTAAAACTGACAATTTCGATGCTAAACATGTAATTTACACAATGTATATATATCAAAGCAAGTGCTTTTTGTTGGGCTTAAGTTGGGCCTAATCCAGAAAACCCCAAAGCTCAATTTAATTTACCCAAAAAGAAAAGGTTATAAAAAAGACGAAATAAATCACGAGTTATTTGATATCGATTCGATTAAAGCTTGATTAATACTCAATTTAAAATACTTGATTCAAATTCTTGACGATAATAAAAATAACAAGAAAAACTAAATCTTTAATTAAATTCAGTTATTAATATATAATTATTTTTGTTATATTTCTCTAACCAAACACGTCATTATTTTTTCTGAAAAACCACGTCACATTGTCTCCTATACTTTTTCTTTCCTTTTGTCCTGTCTTGAGATTCTAACTCTAAATAAATAGGGGTAAAAATGTAAAATGAAATAGATGATGAGTTGGATTCCATCTTTCATTAAATATTTACTAAAATTTGACACACCTATTTTAAGTAAAATTTATTTATTTATTTAATTATTTATTTATTATTTTGGTGAAAATATATGATAATTTATTTATGAAGAAATATATGATAATCACTCATCATCTTGAAGCAAAGGCTTTTTGCTTCCGGAATGTAAAAATCATCTTCCACCTCCATGTGTGTGTATGTATATATTTTGCGAAAAAATTCATTAATTTATATAAAAATATAGTTATTAGATGAATGGAGGATTAAAATAAAGGGTAAATTACATGTGTAGTACCTAAATTATCAATTTTAGAATCTAAATTTTTTAAAATCATATCTAACGTTTAGTTTTTATTTCGTTTTAGTACCTCGTCGTTAAAAACTTAATGAGTGATGTGCACGTGACACCTTTTTATGGGTGAATTGCATCATTCATCATTCAACTATCTTCTCACTCCTATTTTGGTCATTAAACTTTAAATTTTTTTAATTTAATTACTTAACTTTCAAATTAATCCTAATTTAAGCACTCTAACGTTCAAATTTATTTGTTATTTTTAATTATATATTAATAAAATAATAATAATAAAATGTCATCTCACAACAATTATTAATAAAATAAATTAGAGTGATTAAAATAGGAGCAATTTGAAAATTGAGTGGTTAAATTGAAATTTTTTAAGCTTTAGTACCAAAATAGGAGTGAGAAGATAATTGGGGGATGAATGATGTAATTTACAAATAAAAGTTACAGTGTCGTTAAATTTTTTAAAGTAAAGTACTAAAATGAAACAAAAACTAAACATTAAATATTATTTTGAAAAAAAGTTAAAAGTTTAGATATTAAACCAAACCAAAACTTATAATTTTAATACTAAACCTATAATTTATGTTAAAATAAAAGGCTTAAGGGTACATAAAGTGCTCAAACTTTAAAAATAATCAATTAGGCACTAAACCTTTTTGTAAACCCAATTATGCCTATGTACTTCAAAATTTTATTAATTCGTCCTTCTTATCGACATTGAATGTTGAATATAATAGTTTCTTTTTATTGGTTGACGTCACATGTCATATCACGATATTTTCATGCGATATTTACATAAATTTATTGGTTTTTAATAGAATTTTAGAATATTATAGATTTTTAATAATTTTGTTTAGAATTTTTTTTATATACAAATGATCAAATTTCACACGACATAACCACAATGTGTAACATGACAACAATATCTTAAAAAAATTATTAAGATTTAATGGTTAAAATGTTAATCTCAATCATTTATTTAAATTTATTTATTAATTATATTTTTATATAAAATTATATGTCCGTCCACAGCTCCTACACGCCTTCCATCGTTTCATACTTGTGTTGGTGCTAATGAGGAATTGTTAACTCCCCAATGGTACGACGAATATGGTAAACATTTTCTTGTAACGCACACATATCATACAAACAAACATATTTATTCGAAAAATTACAAGTCCAATTATAATTCTTGAATCATTTTTCCTACTTTAATTCGATATTGTTAATGTTATGTCTTACTCTAAATCATTTTTCAGGAATCGAATTAATCCTCGGAACTTGTATCGGTCCACGTCGGACACAAAACACTATTAACAGCTCCCGGAGAGACCATACATTACCAAACACTCATCATTGCCACAGGTGCTCAGGTATTCAAACTGATTAAGCTCTTAACATCTAATCGATTTTCAGTATCAATGTGTATGTATGTGCATCTATGTTTGTCGAACGGTAGGCTTTAAAGCTCGGAGAATTCGGAGTGAACGGATCCGAAGCTGAGAACGTACGTTATTTACGAGATTTATCCGACGCGAACAGCCTCGTTAACGTGATGCAATCGTGTACCGGCGGAAGCGCTGTGGTCATTGGTGGCGGGTACCTTTTAAGCTCTTGAATGGCCTGAGGTGTCCAAAGAGCCACTTTGCCTGGAATTTTCACCATCGTGTCTTCCACCATCTCGGTCCATGGGCCTGATGACGTCGTATCAATTTCCAACGGCATAACACCTTCCCAATTTGGACTGTTCACACCCTCACTTTCACCAATGTCAAAAAAACACACATGTTAAACAAAATGGGCAAGTAAGAGACCTTTAGCACCCTAAAATGGAGCAAGGCCATCAAGCTCATGAACAATGTGCCCCCCAGCCATGTATAAGAAGATTTCATTATATGAAGGCAGGACCCCCCCCCCCCCAGCCATGTATGGCATAACAACCCAAAGGTTGTGACCAGAAGCAAATGAACAATGTGCCCGTGGGTGATCAATCAAGCTCATGGTTTGGACCTCTCTTCGAATGCCATCCTGCGTTTTTCAAGAACAGACATCTTATGTTGATACCAACTCTTTATGCCATAGAGTTGTAAGGACTTGCAAGAGAAATGCACAAGTCAAGTCAATCCCCAAGCAATAGATCACGAAATACCATACTTACGACGTCGTTATTGCACTTTTCCAAATCAAGAACCTTGATAGCAACTATCTCATTAAGTGGAATGCATAATGCCCTGTACACAGTGGCACCGACACCTTCTCCAACTTCTTCATATAACTTGTAATCATCTGCATCGACTGGAAATCGTTTCTCCAAAGGATGCTCCATGGCTTATTTTCACAGCATACCATTACCACCCTCCCTCTTTACTCTATGGTCCAATTAACAAAAGCAAACAATCAACTAAAGACTGGACTGTCAATCTATTCCGGAGCTTCTCCCATTCAGGTAGCATATTATTTTCTTTAACATGCAGCAGTATACAAGTTGCGAATGGAGTAAACCGGGTTGGGAGGATCGTCTTCGCCTCTACAGTACCCGATCCGAATTAGTCGGTCAAAAAATCGGATACCGGTGGTTAATTAAAAAAATTCAATTAAAGAGAATCAAACTAGATATTATTTTGTATTCACCCAGATTTATCAACAACAAAAAAAAGATCACATGGGTTTAATTTCTTTTTTAAACGGAAGCAATTAGTCTTTTTTTGTTACAAAAAGTTTAGGTCATGGGTGGCTCTTTCAGTCCATTGTCAGGACATACCTAAGACCCAATTGAGATTTACATAGGAATTTACAGATTATCCACTAAGAGTGTTGGTTGTGGGATTCGAACTTGGCCTTACAAGTTCAAATTTTTTAATCCTAACTTGTACTAACACTCGTTGGCAGACGTAGTTAGTCTTATTAAAATGTGAAAATATCTAAATTATAATAAGGGTTTACAACTATTATCGTAAACTAATTACATAATTTGGATTTTTTTCTTAAAATTTAATTAAATAGAATCAAATAGAGATTGTCTTGTATTCATCTCAGGTTTATCAAAAAGAAAAAAAAAATTAGATTCTATCGGTTTAATTTTAAAAAAACAAGAGGTGAGCCATGTTTTAGAGATAATGCCTTATCCCATGAAACTCTCTCATATTCAACCATCATCTCCTTTCTTCCTCCACCATTGATTTTTTTCTCTTTTAATTTTTTAAAAAAAAAATTATTTCTAAGATTATTATCCCAACCTAATTTCATATCCATACATGTTTTTGTTTTTTTTTAATTTTTTTTATTTTTTTAAAAAATTATTTCTAAGATTATTATCCCAACCTCATTTCCATACATGTTTTTGTTTTTTTATGTATGTAAATTTTATTAAAAGTGATTATGTTAAATCAACAACGGATTATTAGTGAAGCGATAAATTATTTATTTATAAATGATTTTGATTATGTGTTGGAATTAGAAGTAATACAATTTAAGTATTCTATTTAATTATTTGTAAAAGTAAGAAAGATAAAATTAAATTGGGTAAATTACGCATTTAGTACTTAAATGATCAGTTTTATTCCGTTTTAGTACCTAAACTTATTTTTTTTGAAACCCTACTTAAAGTTTAGTATTTGTTTCATTTTAGTACTCAGTTCAAAATTTAAGGTTAATTTTTGAAAAAAAATGAAAATTTAGGTATTAAAACGGATCAAAACTAATAGTTTAGGTACTAAATACGTTAAGTTTTTAACGGTGGGTTACTAAAATAAAAATGAAAATTAAACGTTAGATATGATTTTTAAAATTAAAAGTTTAGATACTAAAACAGATCAAAATTGATAGTTTAGATACTAAATTAATAATTTATCCTAAAATTTTCTACAGAATTATTGATCCATTAACGTATCATACCAAATTCAGTAAAGTAGTTAAATAATAATATAGATATTCATTGTTTTAATTTTTTTTTGATGTGTAGTAACTCATTTTCGTCTACGGTTTTATTTAGTATATATATATATAGTATATAATATATAATTTTTTATAAAATTTTGAAAACATATATATAATATATAGTTTTTAAAATTATATATTATATAGTTTTAAAAAAATATTTATATATATTATATAGTATAGTATTATATATTATATTTTTTTCATTTTCATTTTCATTTTCTTTTTATTTATTTATTTATTTTTATTTTTCTTTCTTTGGTCCAAAATTCCAAGTCCAATAGTCAAAGAGGCCCAGCAGAGAGTCCAACTGGCGGGCAAGCCTGACCCGACCAAGAACACAGCAAACCAACCTGACTCAAGTTTGCCTGACCCAACAAATTAGGATTTTATCTTTTGGATATCAGTGCCGCAGCACCAGATTCGTTGGATCTGAACTAATCCAACGGCCCAGATGGGCCAAATGTTAGGGTTTTAGGTCCGAACGTTCAGGGGGAAACATCGATTAGCCCGAGGACTCTCCGAGAGTACTCGTTCCAATAACAACAACAACACAAATCATTTGGCAAAAAAAAAAAACAAATCAATGTTTCAATTGAAATGAAACTCTAAATCAACCCAAAAACAGTGAGTTCACAAAGCTATAAAATCATGTACATGTAAAGAAAACAACAAGTAAGATTGAGGCAAGACAACATTTGTAACATTCGAAAAAAAACATAAATAAAAAAGGTATTTTTTACCCTTCTCGGCTAGTTTGCATGTGGTTGTGTTTGAAGTTTGTTTTGGTTTTATTTTTTATTCAAAAAGCCAAGGATTGAAGGGGAAGTTTTTTTTTTCCGAATGATTGTTTCTTCAGATCTAACCTTCCCCAAGGCTTTTTTGTATTAAGCCTTAATGAAATGAGAAGACTTAAAATAATATAAAAACAAGTGTCTAAATTAAACTCAAAATTGATTTTTAGTGTTTAAATATTTTTTTAGTTAAAAATAGGTGCATAATGACTTTTTTCGTTACACTTATTGGTGTCTACCGCTAAACAAAACCCGTTAAGTGACACAATCACAATTTTTCTTAAAAAAAATATAAATGTGATATGTGTCACTTAACATTTTTTTAACGGTAGACACCTAAAAATGTAACAGGGAAAATATTATGCACCTATTTTAACAAAAAATTATTTAGACACCAAAAGTTAAATTTAGGTATAATTTAATCACTTAATTTTGTATTAAGCCAAATGAGAATTATATATAAGTGTGTTTGTGTACAGGAATGAAGCTATGTATAATGTAGGAGGGGCCATGACTCTTAAAAGAAATTTTGGGTTTTAATTGTGTTTTAGGTCCTCCTAGTTTTGGAGGTAGACAAATTAAATCTTGATTCCCTTTTTTTCAATATTTTTTTAGATCCTCTTAATTTTCAAATTAGGTTAATTAAATATAAACCTCTCATTTTGTTGGACACAATTGATTTTTAGGTTTCCCTTAGTTTTGAAACTATATAAATTAAACCTTGATCTAGCAATTTTTTTGTTTAAATATTGTTTAGGTCCTTTTAATTTTAAAATTAAACAAATTCGATCATAACCTCTCAATTATTAATTAAATTGATGGATTAACAATTAGACTCTGAGCGGTTCTGGGAGGCAGTCACACCCTTTGAAAATTTTATATTCTCTTATAGTTTAGGTATTTTCTTTGTATTTCATATTGATAATCTAATTTCGTACCCTTTCAATTTTAATATAACTTCTTAAAAGTTGGTACCCTTTGATATAAAACTATTCATTTGTTATTACTAACCATCATTTTATTCTTATATATATATATATATGTGGGGGGAGGACCTAGGCGAGAACGGTGCTCCTTAAAATTTTAAAATTACTATATATTTTAGATTTTTAATGCAACTTTTACTGAAAAATTATTTTCATCCCTTTAGAATTTTATAAGTTCAAGTTTATTTCTCTAACATAAAATCATGAGTGCGTCCTTATATATATATATATATATTTCTACCGTTACTAGTGGCGGAGCCACACACGTGCCCACCTTGAAATTCAAAATTTTTTATTAGCTACTTATTTTATTGATGGTGTTCACCCTGAAATTTTTCATGCCCACCATGAAATTTGAGTTTTCTTTGATTAGTTACTTTTTTTATTGACGGTGTTCACACTAAAATTTTATTTGCACGTACCCCAATTAAAAAATTTATATTGTTAATATATATACATATATATATATATATATCAACCCTAAAAAATATTTCTGAATCTGCCGCTCGCTTACGGTTACAACAACTATTGAGGGAATCCAAGTAAAATGGCAAACTAAGGCCAATAAAATCATGGGTTTAGTATACGTGGAGAAAGGTCGTTGCATGCAAGTCCAACATGCAATAAATAAAAACTGATGGATGAACAAAACAATAATATATATATAAAAAATGAATCTCCAACGTTCAAACCTCATCTACAAGAAGTAGAAGCTCTCGTTCACCAAGCTTTCGCTTTCCTTATCGGTTTCTAAGATTGGAGAAACACATCAAATATGGTATAAAATTCAAGCTATGATGTAAGATTCAAACCACATTGAATCCATCCTTGTTTGTGGCAATGTCGACGGCTTCGGTCAACGGTTGGTGCCTCACCTCCTCCTCCTCTTCCTCCACTCGTCTTTCGGGTCTTCGACGATCGACATTGGGACCGTCCATCGTCGCTAGCCTTAACACTTCCCCTTCTCCTCCCTCACTCATCCAAGACCGCCCGGTTTTCGCTGCGCCTATTCCTTTACTCATCCCGGTATATATCTCTCTCCTCACTTCTTTTTAAAAATTTAAATTATTTTAAAATTTTAAAATAATTTAAAGACATTTTATAATATATTTTAAAATTTTAAAGACATTTTATAATAATTTTTTTTAAAAAAAAGAAATAATAATTTTGTGTAATGGATTGAAATGCATGAATATGGCAGCATTTAAGTAACTTACTATCTGAACCTCTGACACGTGTATGGCGATGATTAACCAGAAGTCGCCAATCAAATGCTCTTCTTTTTGGTTAAATAACGCTTAAGTCCCCCTTTCTATCGACATTCACAATTTAACCTTCATTTAGTGAATAAAGTGGGTTGGTTCTATTTTAGACCCCTCCTTAAAATAAATAATGCAATTCAATCCTTTTAATATAATTTTTTTCCTTTAACCCCACAATTTATATTTTTATTCCGATCCCGGCAAAAGTTTTATGATTTTGTACCGATGTTGATTTTTGATCAAATAACGAGTCGAATTTTAACTTGTAAAAATTATTTGGGGATTTGAAAATCTGCAGAGAGAAGACATAGGAAACAAATCCTATGAGGAGGCCGTTGAAGCTCTCAAGAAACTTCTCAGGTATTGTCTACCTCTAAATAATGTAGTAACTTCCTCATTTATATATATAATTTTTTTAGAGGTTCATAATGCAATTTAATTGTTACAGTAAATTAGAATTTCATGATTTTTAAGGTACTAAAGTAGAAATTATACTAATTTAAAGGTCACTGTCACTTCTCGGCTTTGTCACTGATAAATGGGGTAAATTACACTAATAGTCCCTAACATATTGATACTCTCCTATTTTAGTCACCAAACTATTTTTATTTTTGATAAAAACGCCACTAGTATTACTTTTCATCATATTTTAATCATGGACTGTTAAAATTTAACGGCAATATATTTATATCATATTTTCTATTGACATAATGCCAAAAACTACTATAAATATTTGTATAAATAGTCTTTTTTTATCCTTATTTTTAGAATATTTTGCCCATAATATTTCATTTTAGAGAAAAATTGTCCCTCAACGTTTGTATAAATGATCACTTTGTCCCATATTTTTTTGAATTATTTTGACCTAAACATTTCATCTTATTACACAAAGATTCTTATTTTAGAGTGTTGATCGTTTGTTATAAAATAAAAAAATTATTTGTTAAAGTCAAAATGCTTAAAAAATACTAAAATTATTAGGGTAAACTACAAATTTAACTATCAGTTTTTGTCCATTTTAGTACCTAAACTTTTAATTTTTTCAAAACCATATCTAAGGTTTAATTTTTATTTCATTTAATACACCGCCGTTAAAAACTTAAAGCGTTTAGTATCTAAACTATCAGTTTTGATCTGTTTTAGTACGTTAACATTCAATTTTTCAAAGCTTAACGTTAAATTTTGAACGAGATACTAAAACGAAACAAAAAACTTTAGGTATGATTTTGAAAATTTTAAAAATTTAAATACTAAAATGGATCAAAACTACCCAAATTATTATTTAATCAAATGTTAACAATTTTTTTTTAATTTCATATCGTTTCTCTCTCAATTTGAACATTTGATTGTAGGGAGAAAGAAGTGAAGGGTGAAGCAGCTGGGAGAGTTGATGAAATAACAGCATCGTTAAACGCTACATTATCAGCTGATGGGGTACCAAATGCCTCTGTCGAGACACTGAAAGAAGGATTCATTTACTTCAAGAAAGAAAAATATGAGTAATTCACTCTTCACCCCCATCAATTTTCATCAAATTCTCTTTCGGTTTCATTCAATATCTTGCAAATCTTCCTTGTTTTGCAGTAAGAATCCTGCTTTGTATGGTGAGCTTGCCAAGGGTCAAAGCCCAAAGGTATATCATATTAGCTAGAGGGATCACAGAATAATACAATTTTTTGGATTTTGTAATGCAGTGGGCGGACATGGATGTAAAAAGTCATTGTTGTTTTTGAGTAGTAGATAGATAACGAGTTTGAGACCTTACCTGCATCCGTTCGCCCACTAATGATCCACTATATAAAATTTAGGTTGTTATAAATTTAAGTATAATTTCAAAGATTATTCCGTAAATCTTAAGATTTATAAGATATAACTTATAATTTAACCAAATGCTAGGTATATGCATTTTTAGAATTGAAACCTTCCTTTTTCTCATCTTAAATTTGTGGATATGGACGAGTATAGACAGGTACGAGATGGATGATGGATATTCAGTTAGATACTAGGTGTGGGTATGAATTTGAAAATGTACCCTCTTGGGCGGGCATGGTTTTAAAATTTTATCCGTCATGAATGGTGGGTAGATAGTGGATATGAAAATGTTAGGTGGGTATGGGGACGGGGAAAGGGTATATGCATCTGCCCCGCCTGTTTGCCATCTCTACATATAACGAAAGGTCGAGTTCGAATCCGGGTTCGAATCAGTTTAAGCTCAGGTTATAGATATATATGTTTTGAGTCTAATAAGTGTTTGAATAAATGCTTGCAGTATATGATTGTTGCGTGCTCAGACTCCAGGGTCTGCCCATCTCATGTGCTGGACATGCAACCGGGGGAAGCTTTCGTGGTTCGAAACGTCGCTAATATGGTGCCACCATATGATCAGGTTCCCTTTCAGACCCACTGCTGATACACACACACATACATTTTGATGTTGCGTCTCATATTTCAGTTCATATATGTATTAGAACCATGTTGCTGACTCTTTTGTCCATGTTATATGGCAGACTAAATACGCCGGAATCGGATCCGCTATCGAATATGCAGTTTTGCATCTCAAGGTGAAGTGTTCTATATGACTTTCGAGTTAAAACGGATGGTACATTGCGAGTTTAAGTTGTAGGACATACGTAGAGGTTTAAACCCAGTATTTGTTGCACACTCGTAGGACGAAACCGTAAGACTTTCGAGTTTAAACGGATAATAAATCACGGGTTGCAATCTCATGCCAATGGAAGTGTTGATTTCTTTTATGTAGGTACAAGAGATTGTTGTGATTGGGCACAGTGCCTGTGGTGGAATCAAGGGGCTCATGTCTTTCCCATACGACGGAACCACCTCGACGTAAGGCCTTGAGATTGTTTAAGAAAAATGATGGGTACTATGAAGTAAAATCTAGTCTGATTCGCTTGAGAATTTTTTACAGTGATTTCATAGAAGATTGGGTTAAGATTGGAATGCCTGCTAAGACCAAGGTGCTAGCTGAACATGATAGCGAGCCTTTTGGAGGTCAATGTGCACACTGTGAGAAGGTAAACACCTCGAATCTCGGCTTCGAATTCAAGTATTATTGTAGTTGATTCATATAGTTATCTTTATAAAATGGAATATGATAGACGGGATTCGAAATTGTAAAATTATAAACGAGGAATGGCTCAAGATCACATAGGTTCAATTAGGAACTAGTAGCTCTTTCAGTCTGGCACATTCCCAAGAACTAGGGATTCAATGAACCGAGCAAGAACGGTTCAAGATCACTCGGGCTCAACGGGTAACCAATAGCCCTTTTATCCTGGCACATTGCCAAGAACCAGGGATTCACTGAACCGAAAGAAAACGGTTCAATGGCTTGAAGGTCACATCGGTTTGATTTCCGGTCTGGGGTTTTTTTATTCATGCATTGGTTTGTTCTTTCAATTGTAAATCCACAATTTGGCTATGCTAAACAACTAATGGGGAGCTTTTCATTTATTTTTTTCAGGAAGCAGTGAATGTATCACTTGGCAACCTGCTGAGTTATCCCTTTGTAAGAGATGGATTGGTGAAAAAAACGCTAGCTGTCAAGGGCGGTTACTACGATTTCGTTAATGGAACTTTCGAGCTATGGAGTCTTGAGTTTCAGCTCTCAAACCCTCTCTCTGTATGAAAACACCACCATCTCCATCACCATCATTGACACCATCTTTGTTCCTTAAAAATCATTACAATGCACTTAATGTCTTGTTTCTTAATAAGTTGTTACAATAAATAAATATATCTGAGATAGAGATCACTGAGCCGCCACCGCAACCGCTCCGGTGGCGGCTCTTTTGACCTATGAATTTCTCATTTAAGCATACTTCCATATAACTTTATTCACTGCCATCTTTGTTAGGTAAAAGATGTGGCCACAATACTCCATTGGAAGCTCTACTAGGAACATAAGCTTAAAGATCACCATCACAGCAAAGATGAGGCTTCGAATCTTCAACTGTTTTACCCTCTTTTCTTATGATTTGCTGACATCATAATCTGAATTCTGAACTGAGTTTTGTAGATGAGACAGTTTCAAGAACTTGGATGCTTTTGACTATTTTACTAAATGTTTCAGTTCATGTTCTTTAGCATGGTATCTGGCTATGCAGCTTTTCAGGCTTGAGTTAGAGTAACACCATTCTGCTAAGAATGTTATCGTGCTCGTATCTAATTGCGTGTTGAGCTTAAGTTTCGGGTATAATTACTCCAAAAAAATGAAAAACTTAGGGTAACTTAGCTTCAAATTGCATTCTCAATGGGTCATTTTTGACCCACCATTAAGGAGAGTTGTCTTCTGTCAATGTTAGCTTAGAGATTAGGTAAAATACCTCAAATAGTAAAATATAGTTGGCTTTAGGCTTTATGTTCCTTCCAAGCATGCTCAAGTTTAACTGTTTGATAGAGAAATTCTTCATAAGTCGGCCTCGATTTATGTTATTCGGATTCGGGATTGAATATCGAGTGTCTGCATATATATATATATCTAACATTAGCATGCTCAATCTTTTTCATATATTTAAAGGATCATAACTTCATCTGTGTTTCGTGTCGGACAAAACCCGAATACTTGAATAAAAATGACGAGTCTGAGTATTTTATGACTTCTTTCTTTGGTATTATGCAGAAATCTAAGGTTGATTGCTTGTAGTAAAGGGCAAGGGTCAAGGATGCTCATAAATTACTTTCAAATTTGGCAGATTAGTCAATTCTTTCACTTTCAATCCTATAGACATCAAAACCAACTACAGCCTTGAAAGGCAACTTACCTTTGCAAGTTCCTTTCTCTATTGGTATCCCCAATCAAGAAAATTCTAAGTGGTTACCAACTATAAGCCGATGTGACCCGAGACTCGGGTCGGTGTCGAGTACGAGTATGCATCCGTCCAACACATATACTCGTTCTTTTTACGTATTTTTCATATATTTGAAGGATAATTATGATTATACGTGCGGGACATGACCGTGATTGTGAATCTTTTGAACAGATAAGAGTTCGAGTAACATAGATGACTATCGGAAAATAAAACAATGGAAGTATAAGAAAACAAAATGTCACCATTTCTTTATTATATATGTAAGAGGTTGGAACATACAAATAAGAATGTTACAAAGGAATCTCAACAATTCCATAATCAATGATTGAAACATAAAATTTGCTTTTGACCTTTCAAGAAAAATATTGAAAACCATGTTTTTTTTTTAATATTTGCATCAAGAACATTATGATACTTCAATACCATCATCTTTGATCATCTTAGTGCTGCTGGTGTCAAGAAGGGTCACTAGTGATCTTGATTTCCGGCACCGAACCCGGCCTGCTTCCTTCAATAACTCCCCCAACCTCCGTTTCTCATCGATGACATCTGGATTGGCTGTTCCGAGCTTCTCTTCTCGGATGTCAACAACATAATCCAGAATGTCAATGGCATCGTCCAACCTGTGAAACATAATTGAGCTTGTAAAAACACAAGAAATGTTCTGTAATCGAATCTCGACATCTGCAAAAGCATTTTACATGTCTATAATCGAATCATTGGTATTACCTTCCCATTGCATCATAGGTACCAGCAAGATTGCTATATACCCCTAATGTATCAGGGTGATATGGACCATATTCCTTCTCTAATATGCTCCTTGCTTCTTCGAATAGATCAGCTGCCTCATTTATCGAGTATCTTTGAACGCAGGCAAGCCCCATCTGATTCAGAGCAATCCCGAACAAGGTGGACTTCTTCTCTCCGCTAGCTCGAAACTTTGAAATGGAACTTTTGAAGGTATTGTAGGAATCAGTGTAGCTCCCCATCATGTAATACATGACTCCCATCTGTGCTTCAATACCTGCAATCGTACTTTGTTGGCCTGGGGCCTCACCAAAAATGGTTAAAGCCTTCTTAAGCAGTTTCAGTGCCTGATCTAGTTCATTCATGGATTGATATATAGCTGCAATATCGATGAGGCCACTGGCAATCTCTTCCGGGGGGATTCCGGGGTTTGGCTTTCCATAAATCCGGAGGGAGTTTTCACAATAAGTTCTGGAATCCCTCAGTTTTCCTATCTTGTTGTACAAATCAGCCAAACGAACGAAAACCAGAGCAACTGTTGGATGATTCTCTCCTTTTGCAGACTTATACACCGTGAGTGCTTTCTGATAGGTCAAAACGGCCTCGTCGTACCGAGCCAATGATAAATATGCATCTCCAATGCTGCAATCAATTGAAGCCACATCCAGTTCATGTCCATTGGCTGCCATGGCCATGCTAGCTAAAACGTAGTGCTCAAGAGCTGATTCGTAGTCTCCTTTCGAGTCACAGATGAGTCCCATGAGTCTTCTGTCGGCAGCTTCTTCGATTGAAGCAGGTGCACCATTCTCCCTGTGGATGTCAAGAGCCATTTGACAAATCTTCTCAGCCTCATCAAATTGCAGTGCTTGGACATGTGCTTCAGCTACATATCGACATGTCTCACCGACCCGAGGATCGGTTTCTCCCAGAACTTGTCGTTGTATCTCCAAACCTGCTGTATAGCACAATATTGAATTCTCAATTTGACCCAGCATTGCATATGTATCACCTAGTTGCATGCATCCGGCAAATTTAGCAAGTGCATGAGTTTGGCTATCCTCGATCACTGGAATCTCAATCGAGCGCTCAAGAACCGGAATCGCCTCAGTGTATTGGCCTAAGTTGAAGTATAATGCTGCCAGAACATGCAAAGACATTACGAGCTCGAGACTCGGTTTGCCATCAGCGCATTTCTCAAACGATTTAGTTGCTCGAAGAGCCAACTCAAGGGCCCTCTTCGGATTTTCACCCGAAGACATCATAACCCTTGTCTGTTTTAGCAAAAACGGTCCGAGGTCCGGATTCTCCAATCCATCCACAAAAGAATCCCTAGTCCCATCCTGAAACTTTGCACCATTCAGAGCAATATTCCTCTGTTTCCCCAAAGAGGAAGCTGCATTTCCTTTTCTTGCATTATTCTCCTTTTCAACTGGATTTCTCTCTTGAGAAGATTTGCTCTTGGGACTCGATTTTTCCAATGCTTTGGAATCCGATTGCAACGGATGCCGATGCTTAACATCTCGACTTTGCCCCTTCTTCTTCTTCACAATCTTTTTGTCACCAGCCCCGTTTTGTTGTTTCTTAGAGACCAAGTCATAAACACTTCCCTCTTCTTTCTTCTCCGCAACCACCTCCTTTGTCGTTTCGCAGTCGCCGAAATCCCCAACGAGATGGCGCAATTCGGAATCGATCCTCGATTCCTCGCCGTACGATCCGTAACTGGTCACGGAAGCAGATTGTTCGGAGCTTTGCATCTCGTAGACATTGTGATAAAGCTGCTCAATGGAGGCTTCCATCACCACCCCATCAATGGCTAAATCAACCGAGTCACTGTGTTGGCTCTTTGGACTGAGTCCACTTTCTTCAATGAAACCATCTTCGTAAGCAGTGGAAACTCCACTGTTGAGTTTTGAAACTCCAGTTTCTCCACTCCTCGCATCCATTGCAACTAATCCAGGCATAGCTTTCTTGATAAAATGAAACCAAATTTCAAAAACTATGATTAAACACAAATCAACTCAAATTCATCATTTGTCTAAATGATCAATATACATCAAAATATGAACACCAACCTGAGAAAAAGAAAGATATATACAAGATTTTACAGAGATATAAACATGAAAATGCTCCATACCTTTTATGGCAGCTGTTTTCAAGGAAGAAAACCCGGAATTCTTTTGCAGGAAAGAACAAGGATTAAATGAATGATTTTGCTTTGGGTTTTATATGAAGTAGAAATGGGTTGGTGCCATGTCTTTCTTTCTTTCTGTTGGCTTTATGTATATAATTATATATATGTCAACTTTGTAATGTATACAAGTTTGAACGGGGAATCGTGTATTTTGCGAAAATTATAGGGGGGATATTTGGAATTTCAAATTAAAAATTGTTTAGATTGTTGTAAATATTATATTTATTGGGAATTGGAAGCAATTTAGAAGGCGACTGTTCTCCCACGATGGGCATGGGACTCGAATTCGATAGGTTTTGATCTGATTCGAGTTTTTTGAAAAATATTTCAGAGTCGAGTCGGTTTGGGTCAAGTTTTTTAAAGGTGAAGTTCGGGTCGGTTTAGGTGAAAAATACTTGACTCAACCCAACTCCAAAAATATATATAATTTTATATTATATATTTAAGAATAATTATAATAATATTCATATGAATTGTCCGTCTAGCTCAGTTGGTAGAGCACAAGGCTCTTAACCTTGTGGTCGTGGGATCGAGTCCCATTGAGAGCAATTCATAACGGAAGTCTTTTACGGAAGTTGCTCTCAACCTGGTGTTAAGGACCAGCCTACTAATCTACCTCTCCCTTGCCCAATTACATATAGAAATAGGGTTAGCTAATTTTTTTTTACAATAATATTCATATATATATATATATTTTTCAATTAAATCACTGTTTTTATTGAATAAAAATAATATTTTTATTATTATTTCGGGTCGGGCATGATTAATTTCGGATTTTATCTCAAAAAATAGATCGAATTCAGGTCGAGTGGAGGGTATATATTTTCTAGATCATGTCAAATCAGGTGAAAGATGTAAAATTTTCGAGTTGAGCCGAGTTAGTCGAAACTCGACCCATGCCCATCCTTACTCCCACCTATGTATTTTTCCTTTTCAAGGAATACCAAACATGTCTAAATGAAATATACCGTAAATAAAAAAAAATAAAACAACACTTAAAAATAGGGTAAAGTACAAAAATGATCCCCCAACTCTAGGGTATTACTTTGTTGAGTGCATCAACTATTAAAACTTACAAAATGATCATCCAACTATTTATTATATACCAAAATTGTCATTTTTTGTTAAAAAATAGATGATATTATGAGCTGAACGTTTTAAGTAGCATTTTACAGGAAATTTTAAATATTTTAAGTAGCGTCCAATAATAATATTTTTGATAAAAAAATAATATTTTAGATAATATTATACTATAAATATTAAAAAATAATATTTCTAATAACACTTTTCATTATTTGAATATTAAGTCTGCCTTAACTAGAGATTCTTGTTTCTTTAGATACGCAAGACAAAAGAATTGGCGCGATTGACGGCTTTTAACGGTGAGAGATCTGAGGAAGGGGAAAAACTGGGATGACACGGCGGTGGTAATAGGAAGGGTGAAAGGTCGTTTACTTTTTGCCACGTGGACAGGATGATTACAAGTTCAGAGTGGTGTAAGACTCCACGTGAACCACACCCATCTTCATTATTGCTGTCTCTTGGCGACTGCATTTATTTATTTAGTCTTAATATAAAAATAAATGTTTAAATTATAGTTAAAATTAATTTAGATAAAGTAAACAAATGATCATCGATTATAAAATATTATTCTATTAAGTCTCTCGACTATTAAAAGTTATAGAATGATCCTTCAATTATATAATGTTTTTTGTTAAGTTCATTGACTATTAAAAGTTACTAAATGGTCACTTGACTAACTCGTCCTTTTCTATAAAAATAATGATATTTTTAGTTGAACGTTAACTTGCTGATTGTTATATGAGAAAATATGATCTTAAAATCTCAAAAACTATCATATTTTAGTCATCATGTTAACGTCTAACTTAGACAAACGTTGATTTTTTTAACAAAAAAATGACAAGTTTGAAATATAATAACAGTCGAGTGACCATTTTGTAACTTTTAATAGTCAAGGGACTCAACAAAGCAACACTCTATAGCTGGAGGACATTTTATAACTTTTAATAGTCGAAATACTTAATAAAACAATATCATATAGTCTGAGATCATTTGTATACTCAATTGACTTTTGGTATTTAAAGAATTTTTAATTAAAAATAGACGTCTAATATTTTTTTCAATACACTTTTTAGGCGCATAAGGTTAAAAAAACGTAAGTAACACGTGTCACGTTAAAGTTTTTTAAAAATATTTTTAAAAAATAATTTAAAAAAATAAATGTGAAATGTATCACTTAACGATTTTTTTCGATAAACACCTAAAAGTATAACGGAACAAATATTAGACACCTATTATTAATAAAAAAAATTAGACCAATTTTATATATAATTTAGAAACTTATTTTTACATTAAGCGGTTTATTTATTTTCTAATATCTGTTGTGTGCCTTAAGGAATTGCCCATCCAGCTCAGTTGGTAGAGCACAAGGCTCTTAACCTTGTGGTCGTGGAATCGAGTCCCACGGAGAGCATTTCATAATTCGGAGGTCTAATAACATAAATATTATATAACAACTTGGGATATTTAATTAAGGAGCTTTCTGTATATATGTTTAATTAAAGGAAAATATAAAAAATTATATAGGTAAAAGGATTTGAAAAAATTATAAGTATTAATCGATCTAATGAGTAAATGTAAATTTAGATCCTTAAATAAAATTAAAGGTTCGCCAACGAGTATTGACACAACTGGTCTTGATCTTGTAAGGTCAAGTTCGAATTATACTATCCTCACTCTTAATGGACAATTTGCATGCATGCCCCTGAGCATGGGCAAAGGGGCACTCGCCCAGGGACCCACTTACTAAAGGACTAAAACTATAAAATTATATATAATTAAAAATGATAAATTATATATAATTAAAAATGATAAATTATTTATTTAGTCACTCAATTATTATTTTATTTTCGTTTTAGTCATTCAATTATTATTTTTCTTCAAAATCATACTTAACGTTATAATTTTTTGTTACTCATCATTAAAAAATTAACAGCAATGCTAATGCGATATTTTTAAATTATTTTTTTCACTTCTCACTTATTTATTCTTTAATTCATTTTTTATAATACTTATTATTATAGGTCTAATTTCTACTTTTACCACAGGCCATTAAAATCTTAGAAATGTATTGGGGGAACCATCCCTGACCGAAACTTTTTCATACTAAAAACAATTAAAGGTTTAAATTCTAATGAAGTAAATGAAAAAAAAAACATTAAAAACTCATTTTTTATAATAAACTTTTACAGTATTTAATCGGAAATTATATACCTACGAAAAAAAGAAAAATGAAAGAAATTAAACAAAATCCAATCAAATGATTAGGGAGTTAAAAGGCAAGAATACATCTTAACATTTTGCTCAATATTAAATTAAATATTAATTTATATATCTTATGCCACATTATCATAACTAGAAAATATATTTATTTATGAATCGAATCCAATCAATTTGATTTTTTTATTTTTTTTAATAAAAATGATTTAGTTTGTTAAATTTGAATACAATTCAAAAAACCATTCTATTCCAAAAAAAAAACCATTCAATGAATTTATATATCACCTAGGGGTGTGCATGGGTCGGGTTTGGGTCGGCTCTTGGTCAACCTAACTCGATTCGAAAATATATACCCTCCATCCGAAACTCGATTTGACCCAAGTTTAGGGGTGATTTCACCAGACTTGAATCCGACCCGACTTTTTTTATATAAAACCAAAACCCGACCTAATCTGACCTATATATTTATAAATAATTTTTATTTAATAAAAATAGGGATCTAATTGAAAAAAGAATAGATAGAGGATTATTATTATAATTATTCTTAAATATATAAGATAAATTTAAATTATTTTCGAGTAAAATATTTTTACCCTAAATCCTAAGCCGACCTTACTCGAGCATATCATCTAAAAATCCCAACTCGACCCAACCCAATTTTATTTTTAAAAAAATATGATCCGATCAGATCAGGTCGAATCGAAACTATCAGCTTCGATCCCGTATCCATCTCTAATATACCAAACTTTAATATTTCAAAAAAATATTAATTAAATAATAATTTTAAAAAAAAACATACCTTAACTTTAGGGTCACATCAACCTTATGTAGGGTAATTAGATTCTCTTTAGGTTCTTCAGCAATGATTATCATGACTTTTTTTTTTCCTTTTAAAAGAATATTAATTATATTTTTCGATGAACTTTCTCGTGTATTTGTAAACTATAAACTATTATCCAATTATTTAGACTTTATTAACATGCTCTATGGGATAAAAGCAATTTTAGTCCCTAAATTTACTTTTTTTTATCAATCTAGTCCCTAAATTCATAATTAAGTAAAAATCTAAAACAATGACACACCAACCTCAATTCAACTAGAATTGTCTCATCTTCAACAGCAAATTACAATGACAGCCATCTCTTATTTTTATTTATTTATTAAAAGAATGGAATAATCAACATCAAAAGATGGCAAACCATAATCATCTCACCTCCAAATCCCAAGTACTCAAAATGTATATATATTATGCCTTAGTGCCTACCCTTTATTTGATTTTTTAGGGGTTTAATCGGGATGGACATAAAATTTTATGTTAGGGACGAACTTAAACTTATAAAATTTCAGGAGATGAACTTGAACTCCAAATCCGACGAGTTCAGGTCGGGGTTAGGGCGAAAATACCTAATCCGACCTGGAAAAATATAATTTTATCTTATATATTTAGGAATAATTATAATAATACCTCTCTATATATTATTTTTTTCAATTAAATCACTGTTTTTATTGAATAAAAATATATTTTTTATTATTTTCGGTAGGGTCGGGTCGGGTCAGGTCGGTTTCGGATTTTAGTTCAAAAAGTCAAGTCGGGTGGAGGGTATATATTATGCGGTTCGGGTCGAATTTCGGGTGGAAGAGTCGTTGTTCTCGGGTCGGGTGAACCAAAAATCAAACACAACCCGACCCATGCCCTTCCCTAGTCTAGCGTGATTATAAAATAGGATAAAGTATACAAATGGTCCCTCGATTATAAAGTATTATTTCATTAAGTCCCTTGATTATTAAAGATTATAAAATGATCATTCAACTATAAAAATATTATTTTGTTGAGTCATTCAACTATTAAAAGTTACAAAATGATCACTTGACTATTTATTATGTTTTAAACTTGTCCTTTTTCGTTATTTTTTATTAATCTAGGGTAAATACAAGACAATATCTATTAAAAGATAACTCTCAACCATTTGAAATTAAACGCTCACACCCTTGACATTTCTGGTGCTCAAACTCGGGACCTCAAGGAATAACAACAATTCATTTACCACTGAGGTCGCTCGGTTTGGGTTGTCAAAACACTCTTAACCTATTAATAACGCATACATAATTTATAAATAAAACTGCTCAAACTCAAGATCTATATGAAGAACAACATTATCTTTTACTACCGAGACCACTTAATAAATTCAAAAGATAGATTGTTTAAATTAATAAAACGTTAAAAAAAATAATTAATAATTTAATAAAATGTTTTGACTTTAGTCTCATGATAATAAAATGTTTTTTTTCTCATTTCCTACTATTAATCTCAGACTCAGCCTTTGATTTTCTCTCATCCAACGATCCTAAAAAGATGTATAATCTTTTAATTTTACACAGTGTAATCAGATTCTGCCCATACATGTTTGATACTCAGACTCGAGTCCGAGCAACGTAAACATCGACCCGAGCCACAGAATTGGATGTATGACGATTTTTCCGGTAACTCTTCCGGTTTAGAGATACGAAAAGGCCCGTGGAGTTTGAGAGAAAGGAAATGTGCCTCTTGGATCAATGACAGGCTTCACTTGCCCGTTTTCAAGGAAAGGGTTCAATTTCTCCAGCACAGCCCCACTAGATGTGAGGATGAACCGGAAAGCTGGTTCAACCGGTTCTATTGTAACAACCTTACCACCTTCCTTGACAACCTTCACTGCCCTTTCAGATTGCCCTGTTTTACATTTGCATAAATAAACATGTCTTTTTAACTCGAACTCACTCGAACCGTTGAGCCGAAAGTCATATACTATATAGTCAGGGATGGACCGAAGGGGGACGGGTAGAGCCAGTCTCTCCATGAAAATTTCAAATTCTCATATATTTTAGATATTTTCTTTATGTTTTCTATTGATAATGTATGTTCGTTCTCTAAAATTTTATAAATTTGACCCCTAGCATAAAATCCTACGTCCGTATCCGCATATAATATCGGTATTTCGAAATAGTTAGAGGAAATGAAGGTTTAGAATTGTACCGACTGTATCGTATACTATGTCGAACTTCTCCGGCAAATCTTCGAAGCTGTCTTTGGTGTAATCAATGGCCAAATCAGCACCCAAGCTCTTTAGCAACTCCAGTTTTGCTGAGCTCGAGGTAGCTGCAACTTTGGATGCTCCAAATACATGACTAGTTAGCTGATCCATTCAAATTCTATTAGTATAATTCCACAATTTATCATAGCCAAAAGGCCGAGAAAGGTATTCCAAAAGTATAATTCCAAATATATAGAAAAAAACATGAAGAAAAAAAGCATATCAATATCGAATTCATATCGTTATCCAATACCAACACTTCAGATTACATTAATGGATGTCATTAACATCATACATAGTTACCCAAACTTGATTTGGCCCAAATTATCACCATGTACCTAAAACTAAGAGATCGGGGTGTAAATGAACAATGTGTTCGATGAACTGTTCGTGAACCATTTGTTTTTTAAATTAAATAAACGAGTTTGAGAAATTTTTTTATGCTCATTTAATAAATGAACGAATACGAACATAGACGTATTCAGTTCGTTTATGACCATGTTCAACGTACTTATTAACTTATTTACCTGATTCTCCTTTTGCTTTTATTCTTTTATATTGTAAATATCGGTGAAATTAGAGATTAAATTTAAAACATGATGAACTTTGAGATTAGTAACATAAAACCTAAGGAACTTAAGGATTAAAGATGTAATTTCACCCACAAGTTTAACATATTGACGAATATATAAACAAACATGTTTGAGAATATTAAACAAATTGAATACAAACACTTTCAAAACAAAAGAACGAACACAAATACAACTTTTTCGAAGGCCAATTCATTTACACCCCAACATAAGAGAAAGTAGCTTTTGATTTGCCCCCAAAGAGGTACACTTGTTTATTTGATTCTCGTTTTGCTATTATTATTTTGTATTGTAAATATCGGTGAAGTTAGAGATTAAATTGAACATGTGATGACCTTTAAGACTAGTCACACAAAACTTAAGGAACTGAAGGATTAATGATGTAATTTCACCAAATGCACATATTGACGAATATATAAATGAACATGTTCGAGAATATTAAACATTAAATATGAATACTCTCGAAAATAAACAAACGAACCAGGCCTGGTTCATTTACACCCCCATTTAATCAAACATGTAGACAGCATAAAAAATGAACCAGTTCATTTACACCGCCCAAAGAGGCATTTAATCAAACATGGAGACTGCATAAAAAAAGGAACTTTCAACATAAAGCATGGTACCTGAATAACCATGGTGCCAACTCCACCAGCACCGCCTAAAACAAGGGTAGATTGACCAAAAGATAAGCAGGTTTTCACAAGGCCTTCGTAGCCAGTCCCAATAGCTAAGGGAATGGAAGCAGCTTCAATAAAACCCAGATTTGTTGGTTTTAGAACCAACAGATTCTCTTCTTCTTCAGCAACGGTGTATTCAGCTAAAGCGCCATGTATATTAGGATGATCCAACCCTTTCTCGTTGATGTTCCCATATACTTCATCTCCTTCCTTTAATGCTCTTACTTGGCTGCCCACTCTTACTACCACACCAGCTACATCATATCCTGGAACAATCTGATTCAATATTACCTAAAATTATCAGTTTGAGTCTGTTTTAGTATCTAAATTATCAGTTTTGATTTATTTTAATACGTAAACTTTTAATTTTTTTTTAAAATTATAACTAAAATTTAATTTTTGTTTCATTTTAATAATTCTATTCAAATCTTAGCATTATTTTTTTAAAAGGAAACTTTCGGCAATGAAATGAACCAAAAAAGGAAAGTAAGGTACTAAAACAGATTAAACTGATAGTTTAGTTATTAAAATGAAACAAAAATTAAATGTGTGTATGATTTTGAAAAAAATTAAAAGTTTATGCATTAAAATAGATCAAATTGATAGTTTAGGTACTAAATGCGTAGTTTACTTTATATTTAAAATCAATGGTAAAATATATAAATAGTCAATCGACTATATGACATTGATTTGTTGAGTCACTCGACTATTAAATGTTAGAATATTGTTCATTGATAATAGGATATTGTTTTGTTGAGTCCATCGACTAATAAAAATTATAAAATAGTCGTCCATTTATTTATATATTTTAAATTCATCATTTTTATTAAAACATTGATGGTCGCCTGAGTTGGATTTTAACATCTGAGATATATTAAAATTTGATATTAGAATCATTTGAATTATATAATTGTTTAAGATTTTAGGATCAATGTTATAATATCAAGGTTATAAAGTTAATACTCAGCTCAGGTGACCATCAATTTTTTAACAGAAAAGAACATGTTTAAAACATATGAATAATCATATAATCATTTGTAATTTTTAATAGTTGAGGGACCCAACAAAACATCTTATAGTCGGTAATTATTTTATAACTTTTAATAGTAAATAGATTCAACAAAATAGTATCAAAATAATCTGAGGTGATTATAAGATAATATATATTCGAGATTTTCTTAACATATTAATAATGCACATATCTTGCAAACGTAGTTAAATAGTGACAGAATTAGAGTATTAGTAGGACACTACCCTAATTGTTTTCACTTTAATAACAATTTAAGTCCTTGTGGGTTTAAATATTAAACAAATTAATCCTTAACTCTTAAAACTTGAGTTTAAATATTTGGTAGGTCCTTGTATTTCTTAAATTAAGTAGTTTAATTCCTCTTAGTGTTTGATCTTGATTCCGTGACTTCCGTAGTTAAGACATCGAGGAAAATAGAGATCAGGAAAGGGAAGAGAACGAGGAAATTTACAGGGAGCGGAGAATCGGAATCGATGAACACGCCGAGCATCCTTTTGAAATAAACCTGATTAAGGGCAGCTGCCATAACTTTGATCAAGACCTCATGTTGTTGCAGTTGGGGTACACTATAGTTTGAGCTCAGTTTCAGAACATCAGCAGGATTCCCATGCTGAGAATAGACCCAAGCCTTCTTTGTAGGAGGGATTGAACTGTTCATGCTCTCCATTGTCATAACCAAAAACAAGCATCCTCTCTTGCTGTTTTTGTAACACCCCAACCCGTACCCGACCCGGATACGAGTCTGAGGTGTCACATTGACTTTTCAAACTTTGATTCTTGATAAAATTCAAAGAAAATTTAAATCTTTCATTAAAGTAAAACCGGTTTAGTTACATAAATTGACCACAATACCCAAAATCAATCAGAGCATAATTAATTCAACCAATTAGTACATGCCAACTATACTCAAAATAACCAAAAACATTTAAATTCTCTATTTTCTGATCTGAAATTTTTGTAAGGGAGGTGTTGACATGTCTTACTCTTCTTCGTTTCTCTTCTAGCTTCTGTAACCTACGTGTGAAACAATCACACGCTAAGTCTATGACTTAGTGAGGCATAAAAACTTATAATGCACTTTATAACATATATCAATATATGCATGTTATGTTCTATCATGCTATACCAAATTACATGATTTCCTCATATCATGTAAAATCATATCAGATTAATTACAGTAAATACATACATATACATAACTCATCATTAACAGTTTATCATGTAATCACATACTTTTATGCTGAACCTTTTCAATCAAACACTATACACACACAACATCATATCATTTCTATAACATTTATCATATCACTAACATATATTTGTTTATATCTCTTGATTAGCCCATGTACATATGTGAGAACTATAGATATGTGAGTCTATGGAGGTTGTGCACTAATGTTGTCACCACAGCTCATATAAATGCACCAAAGTGCCACGTAGAATTACACCGTAGTGCCGCATAGAATTGCACCGTAGTGCCATATAATAATGTCCATAAGGACCACATATCATTCCTTAAGAATCATATACATATACTAGGGATCAAGTATGTGTCTCACCAGACTTCACACATGTTCCAAAGAATACATATATGTCCCGAATGACCACATATCATTCCTTAAGAATCATATACATATGCCAAGGATCAAGTATGTGTCTCACCAGACTTCACACATGTTCCAAAGAATACATATATGTTCCGAAGGACCGCATAGACCCTCGACTCTTGGCATGCCAACTATACCCCTAGCTCTCACGACACATAACATGGGCATTGTCATTTATATCATTTCATATTCACACATGTATATTAATTATCTTTTATCACATGTCTGATCTCTTATAATCATGTAATCACATAGCTCATGTCATTTCTTGTAAAATCACATATATCATGTAATACATATAACTTATACACTTTCTCATATGTTCACATGGTTCACATCACATGAATCATATCTTTTCATATAGTTTATGTTTTATTCTCTTATATTCCCATACATGTAATACATATCAGGCATGGTTACACAACTCCTTTCGATATAACTTGCATGTACCTATATTCTTTTTCATATACTCACATAGTCATATAGTATAATATTTCATATAACCTCATGAAACAACTCACATGGATACATACTCAAATACTCATAGTTATATCACTTAAATTATTCATATTACCTAATCCATGATCATAGCTTCTATCACCAAGTCACTTATCTAATCTCTTATTCTCATATGTTCATATTTATCATACAACACATAAGTTTTATTGCATATTTATATCTTATTCCTACATCACTAATTCATAATATAATTTACATCATATCATCTACCTTATTCTGTATTTCTTAGTATACACTTACATTACCTAACCTACATTATACTTATAAACCTGAATATATTACTTCTATTATTTCTTTTATATACAATTTAATCTATTTACTTAATTCAATTCCGTACAACTCCTATAATCATTTCATATCACTCCATAGCTTCTATTATACAACTAATGTATCATAATTTTATTTAAGCATATGAATCTTTCTCCTCTATCTTATCTTATATGCTCATAGTATCACTGAAGTTCAAGTCTCCTAGTTAATATATTATTTATGTAACCTTTGCTTACTTATTTCATATCCTTTCTCATAAACTCACTTTTACCATATTCTCATATTATTACTTAAATTATCTCATAACATGTATTCACGTAGTAATATTTCATTTATATATATGTATATATCAAAGATCTTATCACATAACTTATCTTTTATATTCATATAATTTATTATCATATCATATGGTTTATATCATCATAACATATCACATATTCACATCAACCATATAATACATATATATAATAACATGTCAACACATATAAATCATACACATATATATTTCTATTTATGAATTCATGCATTTTACTATAGAAATAGACTTGTCGCAAGTCTTATTTTCATTTAACATCATATAATACTAATATGCACTCACCTGACCTCACTAGTCCATTCCAATCTCTTATCTTCCCTTTTTATCGATCTTACTTGTCAATAATTCCGGAACTCGTTTAGGCTCTGAATCTACATAATTATACATTTTAAGACAATTATTAGATACCTACACCTTGTAATTTGATACTAGCAACTTAAACGAACTTATTAAACCAATATTTATAATTTCCTTTTAGGGGGGAATCGGTTCCCTCCTGTGGGAGAATCGGTTCCCCTATGAGATTCTGGAATTTCTGGTTCGTTTGAGGGGGTATAGGTTCCCCTTGAATGGGTACCGATTCCCCTTGCCCAAAAATCACATTTTGAGCTCGAAAATCACTTCATTTTCAGCTCAACACTTCATACTTCACTCCCTTTAATATTCCTAACTTTCATACACATACTTAAACCAATAAATTTTCATTCAATATCTCTTCAACTTAAAAATTCACTCTTCCACATAGCATTCAAGAATCATACCAATTTTTCCATGTTATCCAAAATTAATTCTAACACTTATAACTTCTTACTCTTCCATATGACAAGTCAAATTCAACTTTAAAATCTATTAACTCTTTCTATTTCACTAATTCACTTAAAAACTCTTCATATTTAATCCTTCATAACTCATCCATTTTGAAGTTTCAACCTACTTTAATCTCTAAATAATCTTTCTTAGCACCCCAAGAATCAAAACTAAGCTTAAAACTCAAGAATTAACCAACTGAAATTAAACTTACCTTTGCCATGGATCTTACGGGAAGATAGGAGGAAGGAGATAACCCAAGCTCCAGATCTTTCTTTTCTTCTCACCCTTTCCACGATTTTATCACCTTAAAAGAAAGATAAAAATCTTTCTGATCAAATGACCATTTTACCCTTTATTTCCTTTAATAATTACTAAATAACCTTCATCATATATTTCCAATAATCATTGAATTATTTCATTCTTCTACTTTAGTCACCAAATTCTGAAACTTTTCAATTTAGTCACTAACCCGGTATTGCGGATGTTACAAATCTCCCCTCCTTTTTAAGAAAATTCGTCATCGAATTTTCACTGAACATTTTGATAAAACATATCTTCTAATGTTCTCATGTTGCTTCATTTACTTACTCTTTCTTGTCATCATCAGGAAACGTACTTTTCAATCCTTTAACTTTTCAATTACCTTTTTCCTTTATACATTCATATCATGTCACTTATCATTTAAACAACAACCAGCAACTTCAATCCATTTTCATCAATCAACATCATAAATCCATCTCTAATTACCTTATAATAATAACCAAATTCATTTTCCATCATTATTTAACCAAGAACACGACCTTAAATCTTCTTTAAATATGATTCAACATACACTTTATAAAATCTTTTCACCTCACCAATCACTCTTTTCTCACTTGTATATCCAAAATTATCACCTACACTTCCATATAACCTTTATCGTGTCTGATCCTTTAACTCAATCCCATTTCATTTCTTTATTCCATTCTTCCTTTATTTATTCCTTATACACAAATCATATATTTCCTTTCATGTTCACATACTCTTGTCTTATCACCTATATTCATCGCTATATACCAATCTTCATTGCATCCTCATAACTTTGATAACCTATTTCTTATACAGAACTTTGTTTTTATCATTTCTTATACTTGTATTTTCATTTTTTAAAATTCCATGCAAATACTTGTCTCATTTTCTACATCATAGATATCTGATCAGAATACCCAACTATATTCAGATTCACATCATAATTGATTAACTCAACTTTACATTTTCTTCCAATCTTATAACTCTATCACTTTTACTCTGATAGTTAATCAATAACATCTGTCCAATCTAGAACACAAACCCTAATCAACCAATCACATACATCCTTTCCAATCGAAATTATCTCAAAATTCGTTTACTTAACTTGTCAATTTCACCTCCATTCTCATACATCCTATAATTTCCGTTGTTCAACTAAACATTCTGACTTACTTTGTCTTATAAACTGATCATCGATATACCCATTCCTAAACTCTTCTTATCAATCCTCAGCTTTACTCAAATATACAAATCCTTATTCCCTTTACTATACCACAGTACTATGATCCAAATATACAATTGTATCCAGATCCATTTCATATTTGGTTGTCTTATCATGACAACATCTCAAAATATTAAATTCTATACCTTTTCCATCACATAATCTGGTTAGCCAACGCTAACTCTTTCCATCCAAAATACAAACCCTTATTCTATCCACATTCTTATTAATACACAGTACTATTCCTTTATTTCAAACTCATTAACTCTGACTGTATATATCTTATACGCTTGTCACTGATGCACTTATTCTCAAACTCTCCACAAATTCTAACCACATCCTTAGATCTTTTAACGTCCTTATGGTGACACTTGCTCACCATATTCTATCTTATTCACTTTATAACAAAACTTCTTCGTATCACTTTTTCGATTCGAAATAGTGAGAACCTTTTATAACTATTCGAATATGATTTCAATTTCTGAAATCAACCTTTAATCTTATAAGACACTTTCTGAGGTTTCTGCTCTTCATCCTGCCTGGCCAGGGCAGGTGAATTGCTATCACCATCAGATTTGTTAGCTATCGATTCACTTTGTCATTTCTTATAATCACATTTCTATTGTATTCTATTAAACTTATTCTATCAGCAAGACAACATATTCCTTACAATTTCAGATCAGAATTTTTTTTTCTATTTTGTTGGCATGTATACATTATACGACACTCTAGACTCCGGTTTATGCCGAGAATCGACTAAACCGTAGCTCTGATACCATTAAATGTAACACCCCAACCCGTACCCGACCCGGATACGAGTCTGAGGTGTCACATTGACTTTTCAAACTTTGATTCTTGATAAAATTCAAAGAAAATTTAAACCTTTCATTAAAGTAAAAGCGGTTTAGTTATATAAATTAACCACAATACCCAAAATCAATCAGAGCATAATTAATTCAACCAATTAGTACATGCCAACTATACTCAAAATAACCAAAAACATTTAAATTCTCTATTTTCTGATTTGAAATTTTATTAAGGGAGGTGATGACCTGTCTTACTCTTCTTCGTTTCTCTTCTAGCTTCTGTAACCTACGTGTGAAACAATCACACGCTAAGTCTATGACTTAGTGAGGCATAAAAACTTATAATGCACTTTATAACATATATCAATACATACATGTTACGTTTTATCATGCTATACCAAATTACATGATTTCCCCATATCATGTAAAATCATATCAGATTAATTACAGTAAATACATACACATAACTCATCATTAACAGTTTATCATGTAATCACATACTTTTATGCTGAACCTTTTCAATCAAACACTATACACACACAACATCATATCATTTCTATAACATTTATCATATCACTAACATATATTTGTTTATATCTCTTGATTAGCCCATGTACATATGTGAGAACTATAGATATGTGAGTCTATGGAGGTTGTGCACTAATGTTGTCACCACAGCTCATATAAATGCACCAAAGTGCCACGTAGAATTACACCGTAGTGCCGCATAGAATTGCACCGTAGTGCCATATAATAATGTCCATAAGGACCACATATCATTCCTTAAGAATCATATACATATACTAGGGATCAAGTATGTGTCTCACCAGACTTCACACATGTTCCAAAGAATACATATATGTCCCGAAGGACCACATATCATTCCTTAAGAATCATATACATATGCCAAGGATCAAGTATGTGTCTCACCAGACTTCACACATGTTCCAAAGAATATATATATGTCCCGAAGGACCGCGTAGACCCTCGACTCTTGGCATGCCAACTATACCCCTAACTCTCATGACACATAACATGGGCATTGTCATTTATATCATTTCATATTCACACATGTATATTAATTATCTTTTATCACATGTCTGATCTCTTATAATCATGTAATCACATAGCTCATGTCATTTCTTGTAAAATCACATATATCATGTAATACATATAACTTATACACTTTCTCATATGTTCACATGGTTCACATCACATGAATCATATCTTTTCATATAGTTTATGTTTTATTCTCTTATATTCCCATACATGTAATACATATCAGGCATGGTTACACAACTCCTTTCGATATAACTTGCATGTACCTATATTCTTTTTCATATACTCACATAGTCATATAGTATAATATTTCATATAACCTCATGAAACAACTCACATGGATACATACTCAAATACTCATAGTTATATATCACTTAAATTATTCATATTTACCTAATCCATGGTCATATAGCTTCTATCACCAAGTCACTTATCTAATCTCTTATTCTCATATGTTCATATTTATCATATAACACATAAGTTTTATTACATATTTATATCTTATTCCTACATCACTAATTCATAATATAATTTACATCATATCATCTACCTTATTCTGTATTTCTTAGTATGCACTTACATTACCTAACCTACATTATACTTATAAACCTGAATATATTACTTCTATTATTTCTTTTATATACAATTTAATCTATTTACTTAATTCAATTCCGTACAACTCCTATAATCATTTCATATCACTCCATAGCTTCTATTATACAACTAATGTATCATAATTTTATTTAAGCATATGAATCTTTCTCCTCTATCTTATCTTATATGCTCATAGTATCACTGAAGTTCAAGTCTCTTAGTTAATATATTATTTATGTAACCTTTGCTTACTTAGTTCATATCCTTTCTCATAAACTCACTTTTACCATATTCTCATATTATTACTTAAATTATCTCATAACATGTATTCACGTAGTAATATTTCATTTATATATATGTATATATCAAATATCTTATCACATAACTTATCTTTTATATTCATATAATTTATTATCATATCATATGGTTTATATCATCATAACATATCACATATTCACATCAACCATATAATACATATATATAATAACATGTCAACACATATAAATCATACACATATATACTTCTATTTATGAATTCATGCATTTTACTATGGAAATAGACTTGTCGCAAGTCTTATTACCATTTAACATCATATAATACTAATATGCACTCACCTGGCCTCACTAGTCCATTCCAATATCTTATCTTCCCTTTTTATCGATCTTACTTGTCAATGATTCCGAAACTCGTTTAGGCTCTGAATCTACATAATTATACATTTTTAAGACAATTATTAGATACCTACACCTTGTAATTTGATACTAGCAACTTAAACGAACTTATTAAACCAATATTTATACTTTCCTTTTAGGGGGAATCGGTTCCCTCCTGTGGGGGAATCGGTTCCCCTATGAGATTCTGGAATTTCTGGTTCGTTTGAGGGGGTATCGGTTCCCCTTGAATGGGTACCGATTCCCCTTGCCCAAAAATCACATTTTGAGCTCGAAAATCACTTCATTTTCAGCTCAACACTTCATACTTCACTCCCTTTAATATTCCTAACTTTCATACACATACTTAAACCAATAAATTTTCATTTAATATCTCTTCAACTTAAAAATTCGCTCTTCCACATAGCATTCAAGAATCATACCAATTTTTCCATGTTATCCAAAATTAATTCTAACACTTATAACTTCTTACTCTTCCACATGACAAGTCAAATTCAACTTCAAAATCTATTAACTCTTTCTATTTCACTAATTCACTTAAAAACTCTTCATATTTAATCCTTCATAACTCATCCATTTTGAAGTTTCAACCTACTTTAATCTCTAAATAATCTTTCTTAGCACCCCAAGAATCAAAACTAAGCTTAAAACTCAAGAATTAACCAACTGAAATTAAACTTACCTTTGCCATGGATCTTACGGGAAGATAGGAGGAAAGAGATAACCCAAGCTCCAGATATTTCTTTTCTTCTCACCCTTTCCACGATTTTATCACCTTAAAAGAAAGATAAAAATCTTTCTGGTCAAATGACCATTTTACCCTTTATTTCCTTTAATAATTACTAAATAACCTTCATCATATATTTCCAATAATCATTGAATTATTTCATTCTTCTACTTTAGTAACCAAATTCTGAAACTTTTCAATTTAGTCACTAACCCGGTATTGCGGATGTTACAGTTTTAATCCCTACCCATAGGAATATATAGAGATAGGGATGGATTGAAGGGACGGGTAGGACTTTCGTCCCCTTAAAATTTAAAATTATCATGTATTTTAGATTTTTTTATGTTTTTTCTATCGAAAATCTATTTTTGCTCATATAAAATTTTATAAGTTCGCCTCCTAAATTTGTAAAAGTTCATCCTTTAACATAAAAGTATACATTCATCCATGTATATAGAGAGTTTGATCTCAATCTCTCAATATATGGGTTAAAATCCACTTACATCCAATGTAAATTAAGAGCTTTATACTTTTTTGGGACTGTTGGATTGAGGAAAATCAAAGGTTGAGATTAACTCTTTATTTTTTTTCTTCAGTGAATAACTTCTCATTTTCTACTATTAATCATAACATTCGATTTCTCTCATCCAATGATCCTTAAAAAAAGTGTAAAACTCTTAGTTTTATACTAGGTGTAAGCGAATATTGCCTCTCTCTTTCTCTCTCTCTCTCTCTCTCTCTCTCTCTCTCTCTCTCTCTCTCTCTCTCTCTCTCTCTCTCTCTCTCTCTCTCTCTCTCTCTCTCTCTCTCTCTCTATATATATATATATATATATATATTAGATGTCATTGAAGTATACTCAAATGATTGTTTGTTACTCAAAATTTTATCGAGTCATTACAAAACCTTCATTAATGTTTTTGAATTTTTAAATTTATTATAAAAATATGATTATTTTGTAATAATCTAATAAATTTAATCATCATTCATAATTTTTAGAAGTTTAATGAAAGAAATAATTATTTAATATAATTTAGTGTTATTTTATATATTTTATTAAAAAAAATTCGTTTAACTAATTTCTATATATTCTATATTCTATAATTTATGCTTTGATTAGATTTGTGTAAGAGAGGGAGCAGTTGGAGAGTCAATCACTAGGGCTGCTAGGAGAATATGATATTTTGGAATAAAATTTGTTAATTAAATAATTAAAATTTAAAATGATAAAGTGATTATAAATATTAATATACACTTACGAAACAATTGTTTAAACCTAAGACTTCAAATAATAATATTTCTTTAATCACTTATGGCCATCCAATGAATTCAAAACTAAGGAAAAATTCAATGAACATGTCTCATAATATTAAATTATTTTGAAAATCATTTAAATTAATTTATTTTTTAACTTCTAACATGATTTCGAAAATTTCCTACATACATTTTACAACAATGCTAAATTGAAGCCACAATTTATAGGATTTTTTTTTTGCCCTCCTTGTTCGCACCGACTAATCCGAACCGACCTGCTTCGTCCTCCTGACTTTAGTGGGTAGATCTCCCAATAAAGATTTTCTGCACATACAAGTACTTGAACCCGAGACCTTACTTAAATGATATTAAACTACTTATCACTTGAACTAATCTCGTCGATTCTATTTATAGGAATTCAAATACAATTGCATTGCATCCATGATTTTGCTACATACATAATCCAAAGTTTTGATTCACCGGATTCTTTAGAACCCTAAAACTCGGAGGAATCGATCTCGATGCCGGTACCTCCATTCATTTCCGGGTGTTCGGTAAAGCATCAATAGACAGTCGATTACATGCCATAAGTTATTACGAACCCTCAAATCCTGGAAAATATGCTTAGGAACTCGTGTAGAACTCATGTGCTTCCTGGTAGCGATCTAATACAACATTATAGAGGGGGTGGATTGGTTCCAGGAGATTCGAATACGGACCTAACACGGCATGAGGCAACGGCGGAGCATCCTCATCTTCCAACCAGCTACGTTGACACACAGAAAGGCCGCTTAAACAGTAACATGTGTGGTAATGGTCTCTAGACTTGCCGGGTTTGTCTCTCAGTCCACCATTCAGGTCCTGATTTCACAACAGCAGGTTGATTCCATGTTCAAGGACATAAGTTTTGACAAAATAGAAAGGGGAAAATATGCCATAAAGTCCCTACATCAATGAAGTTTCGGATTTAGTCCTTGCACTTGAAGAGCTAAAATTAAATTTGTTTAAAATCATAGTCCAATCGTCGACAAAACTAGTATTTTTTCCAAAGCTCACGTAAATATACCAACTTTGGAAGGAAATCATTGCAAACTCAGTAAGCATATCATAAAGCAAACAAAATTTTTACAAAAATACTAACGATGTCGACGATTGGACTAGAATTTTTAAATAAAAAATAAGAGGATTTAAGTTTTACCTTTTTAAGCAAGGGGACTAAATCTCAAAGTTCTCCAAAATATCTCAAAGTTCTCCAAAATACAAGAACTAATGACATATTTTGACACCACTTTGAAACCTTAATTGAACCAAATTATGTTTGAACAACGAACCTGTGAGCATAAAAGAATGTATTGCTGCAAGGCCAAGCTGTTAAAAAGGGGATTCACTTTTGCATGCCCTTTGCTAGAATTATGACCGATATCGGCAACATTAACTCGGGACGACGTATCATGGTGATCTGCCAAATATAAATAAATAAATAAAAAGCTATATTAAAATAAAGATTTCATGAATTACAAGGAATACAGGAAAAAGAGAAGCAAACCTTTCTGAGAATGGCTGTCATCTTGAGATAAATCCTTGTTCAAACCTTCTTCTGTAGCATCTGATGATGCGGTAGTTCGTGGGCTTTCCGGATCGCTATCTTCTCCATCTCCCAATGGTATTGATCTTTCTCCTTTAGTAGAATTTAATCTTTTTATCAATGCAAATATTCCTCCCTGGCCAATTCCCTCAGTTATATTTATTTCAACTCGTTCGAAACCTGAATGAGATCTAATAAAAATAGAATGTCACCTGCCAGAAAGAGTAACAACCATCAACCAGTTTATTAGTTCTGCCCTGAAATCCACCCTCTACTCCTTGTCGGAAAACCACCCAATCCTACACAAGAAAATGTTATCATTGTTAGTTTGAAGAAAGGTAATTAAGGAGATACAGTGAGATGGTCTTACAATTAAGCTAGACAAATCCAGACGATCGACCTCGTTGATTAGAATCATTGTAGCCAACCCACAAAAGGTGTACCTGACAAACAAATTAACAGAACTTTAGGAGGCTTTCTCATACGGGAGACCGTCAATTACAAAGCAATATGTACTAATATGGTATCCATGAAGAAGTAAACAAAGAATCAAATTTCAAGGAAAGGTATGAAATTTATAATTTAAGAGAACAGGTGAGAAGAGAGCAGAACATACCCCCCATGAGCTTCAGAACCAGGTTCCCCAGAAATGCCACCTTCATAAGTCTGGCAACTTCAAAAGAATGGAAAAAAAAACTACTTCAGTCGCATGGATGAGAAAATAGGAATCAAGACACAGCTCATGTAAACATTAAGAATATGCACTCAAACAAAGGCCAATGCATTGCATGATATTATTTAATATATATGACAAAGACCAAGTCCAGCGACGTCATTGATGAAGAGCGATAACGGACACTAAGGGCTTTCTTTTTCTTTTTGGTACTTAAGGATGTGAGCGATGGACCCTGTAACTGAAACAAAGTGCCCAACAAGGTTCTGGTCTCTCTTTGCATTCTTAAAGATTTTAAGACCACAACTCACTGATTCTTTCCCGACATGTTCTGATAAAACAGTGGTACTGGAGAACGAGGAATGACTTCCAACCTTGAAGCACCTAAGATGAGGGTTTTTTTATGCATGCCACATCCAATAAAAGCTCTCTCTAGCAGAAAGAAAACATAGAAAACAGACATTGATAACAATGAAACCTAAAACAAATTTAATACGAAAAGTAGGGAATACAAATTAGGTGCCTTAAATAACTACCACAAAGCAAAGTGAAAGCCAGGTACTGACCTTAAGATGTAATTTCCAACATTTTGAACAAGTTTATCATCCAAAATATTCAGCAGACTTGCAACCTGGTCAAGAAAAGATGGCTGGCTCATCTCAAAGGCAGAATAACCTTGAAAACAGTGGCATATAATTTATAAACAGAAACTGATAAGATATATGCAACCCAAATGGAACAATAGACCTATGATAAATAGTGGATTTTTCCATACAAAACAGTGATAATTTTAACTTTTCAGCATCACTGCACACTTACTGAGATGGCTGTATAACATGCCCGAACATCAATTTCTCCACCATCATGCATTCTGCAAAAGAAATTATCAAGAATGCTTAAAATTGCAATCTAAACACTTGTTTCGAGGAAAAAGATAGGAAAGAGTTGTATTTTTCTCATAGCAAGAACTTGACATCATATACTTGAATGTAAGCAGATTCAACTATAAAGAACATTAACCTCCAAATACAGAGTCATTCTTAGCAAAGCAACTTCAAAGAAAAATGTAAATTACAAGAAATCTGTTAGAAGGTGGTTTCGAACTTTAAAAAAAGATTCACAAATGTGTCAAACCTGAATCCCCCACTTGCATCTTTCATTTGCTGCATAAACGAGTATAGTTTTTCTCTGAAGGAAATTGTAAATTTCTGTTAAATAACTTTCAATAAAAACTTCAAATTCAATTGTTTGAATAGACAACCTATTAACTGATGACAACGCTTTGTCACCACCCAAAGTAACAAGTGAATTGACTGCAGCGTATGTTGTTGCAAGATGAGGCATCTGGAAAAATAAATTAAAAATTGATCAGTTTCCTCGTATACAATTAAAATCAGTACAGCTTCAAAGGCAGTAACTAGTAAGAGGAAACCCACACAAAATAACATTGAATGTTTCATGTAAATAAGAATCAATCAAACATAGGCCACCACCATTTATTACTGTTTAACATACAGGAAGATGGTACGTTAGAAGTTAACAATGATAATATCCCAAATTTACTTGCCTGTCCGGGTCCACCACCATAACCACCATTAGGATCCTGTCAGAAATAAGAACAAATACGCAAAGGAGTATCAGATAACCATTCAAAGAAAATGAAGAAAGATAGAAACTGAAGTCGGATGGTGGTCAAGCACCAAAGCTAGCTGGCTATGTTTTACTCAGACTCAGGTGTGAGTGTTGGATAATGTCATACATTTATTGCCTAAACGGGTATGGTCAAGTTGTTTTTGCAGGACCCTATAGGTCATATTCTCATACACATGCATCAGACATGAATTTCAGATATGGGTATGAAGTGTTGGAGCCACATACCTAGCTGTGCCCAATGGGGCTCAAGCACAAAGCTCTAAGCTTGTAAAACATGGAGTAGAGCACAAGCACAAGAGCAAATCAATCAATGTACATAAGCACAAAACTTACCTTAAATAATGCATTTCTCCCAATTAAGGCAACCATATATTCAACCAAGAAAAGTACTATGTGATAACATATCGAAATAGAAATAAATCAATGAAACCATAAAGCAGAATAAATGCAATCATCTACACTCTTGCTTTAATCTGTCAACTAATAACGACAACATACTAAGAATATCCCAATTCATTGCGATCAGCCATGTGAATCATAGTGAATATCTGTGCCGTGTTTATGACCAGATCCTACTAACTCAGTAACATCAATCATTCTTCCAACCATTTTTTTCCACATAAAATGATGTTCTATTAGAATTGATATTATCACATTTAAATATGAATAATTCAAAATTTCATAAACTTTACTACCTCACAACGGCTAAGAAAATCAATAGTATTGTCTTCCAATTCAGGATCTACAAACTCGTCCATTAAAGCAATCGAATGAAGTATCCAATAGCAAATCCAAGGGCGACTACAAATAAAATGATCAACTTTTATTTAAGAAAAAAGAAGAAAAGTGTTCTGATTTTAATTAATTAAAGCAGTGATTAAAAAACTTATATTTTTACTTAGCATCTAATACGCAGAATGAAGGACCGAGTTGTTTTAATCCATTTGTCAAGTACTCCACATGATTTTCTCGTTGAAGCTCCAACCTATCAAAACAAGTCGAATATAAATCCCAAATAAGATTAAAAAAATAACTTAAAATTAGGGATTTAGGGATTTACATGAAGGATTGGGAACTGGGAGGCATGTTGTAGAACGTTTTGAATAAGCTGAAGACCTGTTGCTCAACCAATAGCTGATCGCGCTGAGTTACAGTTGGACTCGTTAACGATTCCATGGTTTAAAAATCGCCGCCGATTAACAGTGGACTGAGAGACTGAGTTGGCAACTCGGTTTCTTTGCAGAGAAAGAAAATGGAAATAAAAATAAAAGAAGTGAGGGAATTTAACTGTCTGGTAACATAAATAAGGTTGAATTTTAATCCGATCTAATTACTGAAAAACATAAAAATATATATATATAATATAGAGAATCTTTTATAAAAATTAATCCTAAAATATAAATACAATAAAATACAGGGTAAATTACATAAATGATTCTCGATTATAGGATATTACTTTATTAAGTACCTTCATTATTAAAAGTTACAAAATAATCCTTCGATTATAGAATGAAGTTTTGTTGAGTCTCTCGACTATTAAAAGTTACAAAATAGTCTCCCGACTATTTATTATGTTCAAACTCGTCTTTTTCTGTTTAAATATCGATGATATTTCGAGCTAAACTCTAACCTATTGACCGTGATATGATAAAATTTGATCGTAGAATCTTAAACGACTGTTATATCTTATTCACCATGTTAACATACAGCTTAAACAATCACCAATTTTTAACAAAAAAGGACGATTTTAGAACATAATGAATAGTCGAGTGACTATTTTATAACTTTTAATAATCGATGAACTTAATAAAACAATATTTTATAGTTAGAGGACTATTTTGTAATTTTTAATAGTTTAGGAATTTAATAAAACAATACACTATAATTAGGACCATTTGGTGTACTTTACCCTAAAATATATATCAAAAAGAAAAATTTGAATCAAAGATATACACAACAAATATTCAAAATAAAATAAAAATTTATATATTTTTAACTTTCTAATTTTACATGCATCATACTATTATTTGTAATAAATATTAAAAAAAATAAAACCACAATAAAGAAACAAAAGAAAATAAATAAATCCACTCATGTAATTATGTCCAAAAGAAATGACCATTTTAAAATAATTCTATTATTTCACCTCATAAAATTATAAATAGTTGATATACTACATATTAAAAATATAAGATAATCTTAAGTACTTAAACTTATTAATATTTTACTAAATCAAATTCTTTATATACCATTATTATGTAATAATTTTAACCAAAAATGGTCAAATACTTAAAAATTTGAGGGAAATTACATTCCTATCATTTTAACAAAAAAAAAAGTTACTGTTAGTAATGAATTATTGTTGTTAGAGAAAAATGATGACTAACTGAGAATACAATTATAGAAGAGATTATTTTTCGGATAATGATTTTTTTCGCGAATCAAACTCGAACCCTTTTCGGGTTATTGCAATAACCACCTGACTATCTATGTAATTACTTTAAACTTGCAACCTCACAAGAGATCTTCAAAATACTTTACATGCATGGATGGACCGAGGGGTCAAGTGAGGGCAATTATCTCCTGAAATTTTAAAATTATTATATATTTTAGATTTTTTATATGTATTTTCTCTTTAAAATTTATTTTCACCCCTAAAATTTTATAAGTTCAAATTCACCCCCTAGAATTTTAAAAGTTCAAGTTCGTCTCCCCTAACATAAAATCTTACATCGGTTCCTGTTTACATGTACCCATAATATGCATTTGAAGAAGAAAAAATAACTTGCAGAATATGATTTTTAAGTTGTTTCAACATCTATTATCAAACTATCGGCTATAGCCGCTTTGTTGATGCATTAGCAACCCTAAAAATTAGGTTTGAAGGCCGAATCAAACCAGACAAGTCCCGCCAGAAACAACCAAATACCCCGCCCCCCCGCCCCCGCCTTCAAAAAGCGGCAAAGAACGGAAGAGCTAAGAGGAACAAAAAGGAAGATGTTAACTAGGATAGTAGCGGAGATTAAGTCGATTGAAGTTCAAACAAAAAGAAACAGGGTGGAACATGAAATTACCTGTCTCTATGAGCCAGGGTGGAGTATCGACGTTTCCTACAAGCATTTAACTCCATGATCCACTGATGTTCCTACACGGAAAAGGCTACGAAAGCAGATAAGGCATCAAAATTCAATGGAAACAGTTGGCCAATTATGTACAGCATTTAGAAGTACGATATGATGATCGGGGCAATATGCAGATAGCACCAACGGCTGTCAACCAGAAACTGTGCCAGCTTTATAAAGCTCAAAAATATAACGGGACATAGAAAGAGAAGGCAAGAATATTTCATTCTTCAAAGGAGCTCTGGTGCATTGGATACCAGATAAAAAGAACAAAAGGGTAACAGAGAGCAAGAAAGAGACGTATAAAAAATGAAATATCGTCTACACATGCTCTACTTCAACCATTTTTTTTCTTTTTCTTTTTACACTAATTCATGTTGTATAAGCATATAATCTCTCTTTCTCCCATATTGCCCTCATGCTTTCCAAGAAAGAAGCCGCAAAGATGCAGCAGAAATCACTCCAAAATTGGATGCATATTCTCACTTGTCAATCGGTCCTCTGGAACTTCCAACACCATAGGCATTTCCATGAATTCTGGTTTCGAATCAAAGCATCCAAGTTAGCATGTTAGCCTTATCAATATATACACGGGGTGTTGACATCAGAACACTAAGGTCCAGACAGTCGGGGCAATCCCAAACCAACATTTTGGTTCTGACTCTGGTATCTTTGTTGACATATTCCTGCTACCAGTTTCCCTTGCCACAGGGATCAAGTTTAACTGAAATAAGATCTTCTCGGATTTGAAACTCCTATTTCAAAAAGATCAGCCTTCTGGTTCCTTCCTTTTCTTACCAGTCTTCCGGCTCACTTTGCACTTCTCTGGCAGATTCGAGTCGGAGAGCGGCTTTGGAGCTGGGATGCTGCTGAGCTTCAAACGGTCAATAGAATGGAACTCAGGTGACTTTTCATAAACAATAATGGCGTCAAGGGAGTATATACGTAGGGCAAGAGAAGACATGGTGGAAACTTTTGCAGCTGCAGATAGAGATGACCAATACCACCACTCATTCCTCAAGTACTCGGTCTTAATCATGTCCTCAAATGCAATTGTTGCTTGGACCATCTGGAAAGACGAGAATATCATATCCAATGCCACCAAATAGAAGTTAAGAAATGAAACAGAACTTCAAAGCAAAAAAATACCTTCTATATCTGTTCTAAAAGAAAAAGACTAATCTAAGGAACCATTTATTCAGGACATGCACCATGAAATTAATGGGCCATGACTAGATTAACTAGAAATAGCAAAGTGAAAATGTCAGTTGAGAGAAAACTAACATTACATCAGATAAAACCTAATCAAACAACCTGCAGTCAGCAAACCCAACCAAATACGAGATGCTCCATGAGGATCATGAAAGAATTAGTTAGTGCTCATACTTTAAGATAAGCAAAATGAGGCCAGTGATGATGAATAATAGTTACAATTTACAAAAATAATAATTGGTATAAGAAAGCTCAAAGGGGTTGAGACAAACCTCATATATTGTTTCTGCCGACTTAACAAATGAATGCCAGGCCCATCTCCTTTCCATGCATGCCCTTGACGGTCTCAAAGCTTCTTCAGAGAGTGCAGCATACATATCAAATAAATTTATCTTTAGTTGCTGCAAAAGCTGTGAAGCCTTACCAACTACAGGCCTTAACGAAGATTGAGGAACCACACAGCAGCGACCTTTACCCAGTTCAGGAGAATACTTATCTGCAGGAGAGATTCTATCCCTTTGTTCCGAACATCTCAAAGCAGGTCTTCTGTTTTTTTGCATTTTAATATCATTTGCAACAGACCTTTTGAAAGAACCGGAAAAGCCTTCTTTGACTCCATTGCCCACACTCCAGTTTCCTAGTGATAAACCAGGTCTCTTAGCAGCCTTCACCTCATCCCCTAAACCCTCTATTTTTTGGTGTGGAGGAACAATCAATAGGGTAGGATCACCAACAAAATGTGGAACAGATGAGACAAATGACGGAACCCCATCTGAACTGATAAGACCAATTTCCTGCACCAATTCTTTATTAGAATCTCTAGTTACAAATTTAGTGCTGATTTCTTCAAAGTCATAAGGGCAAACTACTCCAACAGTTTGAAATTTGGTCAACCTTGAACTCATCTCCAAATGCCCACCTTTGGAATTTTCATCAATTTCCATGTCAACAGTACAACCTACCCGGTTACCATCAGATTTCATATCCCCTTTTCTTTTCAAAGAATCACTGACTGACTTACCCTTGTCATTAGCAGGAGGATCCAGAGTGCATTTGCCATCATTATGATCCTCGAAATCAACATCAGTTGAAAATGTTTTGTGGCAGGAGATGCAATGATTTCTGGAGGGCCAAACAGGCTCCAAGCATTTACACCTGTACACTTTATCTTCAATAATTACTTCTGCTTTTTTTCCATGATTCTTCACAGATTCAGTTATTTCTGACTCAAGGCAGGGACCATACTTCTTCTCCAGCAACATTGCTGCCTTGGTAACAAGAAAACTAGGAACCAAAGCTTTATCAGAAATATCAGACAATGAAAATGCGGCTTGGCACTCATCTTGAACTTCTCTTCTCATTTTTTGGTAATTCTGGAATTTTAGCTTCTGGCAAATAGCCTCTTTCAGCTCTTTTTCTTTTGGGTCTTTATCATTCAACCAATTAATGAGTCCTTCAATTTCTGCATCTGACTGATATGTAACCCATGTTGGACCAGCTGAAACTGCATCTTTAGCATTATACACAAATGGACAGGATGCCTTTGAACCCTGTGCTTTAATACTGGTATCTCTGGTGGCAGAGGTAAAATTCCAGTCAACTGAAGTGCTGTGGCTCCGTACCTCATTGCCCAGAAAATTTCTCCTCTTATGCAATACCAAACTTCCATCAACAATAACCTGAGGATTTCCACCTGGCATGGCTGAAATCCAGTACAATCGGCCAGAAGAATCATTTCCCAAAAACTCCTTCCGAATAGCTAATTTTAAAAGTTGTGATTCCAAACTTGTAATTAAGTCCTGCTGATGTTGAATATCACTCTTGATAGTGCTCAGCTCAATATGGCGAGACTGTGACTCGTTCTCAGCAACAGAGGAAGATTGCTTTGCAGCATGCAGGCTTGTGGCATCAGATGACTGGCACTGTCCATTACAATCTGAAGGAGATGATGGAGAAACCAAATCTGTTCCCTCAGACTCTTCCAACTTACCATGGAAATTTGTTTCTTTCCTTGAGTCATCAATTTCTTGGGGCAAAGGATTTGATACAGGCAACTCACTTGTTCTAGAGGATTTATCACTTTTTTCAGACAATACTTTGCTCCCATCCACAATGGCTTGTTCACCCTTTAACTGAGCCTCAGTATCCATTGGATTGAAGCATTGGCCGTTACTGGTAAAACTTTTCTCCATACGAGTACCTGATGCATATTTATTTGAATCATTAAGGTCAGAACCACCCTCCTCACCATCTGATGAAAGCCGATCACCATCATCTTTTACACCATCTCCAAATGCATTAATCATGCTTGTATCAAATTTTGAAGCTCTGGCAGCAATGAAGTCTTCCTTAGATTTAAGATTTTTCCATTCTGCATATGCAGAACGTAATTTCTGATGCAACTCAAATGTTGTTTCAGCACAACGTTCAAGATGTTGACGGATAAGAGCAGAGTTAAGTAATTCATCACACAAAAACTTGAGCAAGAAGGTTCTCTGCACCAGAATAAAAATGTTGTTAATTTGTGAAATAAACAGAGAGCTCAAGGTCAGCGTGCATAATGTGAAAGAACCAAAAACTTGTTAGCATAAGACATCCTCCTTTCCTACATCATTGAAACCATTTGCCATCAATACAATAACCTTTAGTTATACTAGACAGCAAAATGTAAATTAATTAACCAAAGAATAATTTCTGAAAGCACCATTTTGTTTATGACATGGAAATTCTTAACCCTCAAAGAAGAAAAGTTACGATCAATTACTCGATGTCATTTTTTTTTGGTTGCCTAAGCATCTTCCCATATTCACATGATAACCATTTCCTTTTCCTATACTCGATTACACCTATCAAAAGTTATGGCTGACATTACCATGCTCCAGTAAGGAGATGCAAGGATTTGATCTTATTACTACATAAATGTACAAAAGTAACTTCTTTCACCAAGGAACAGAACTACAAGAAACAAATAATGAAAAATGCAGGATATGATGGAAATTTTTAGTCAAATCCAAGCCTAAACAAAAGTAGGGGTCAAATTCCAGGTAACATACCCAAAAAAGGAAGAGGAAAAGCATGCATCATAAGTGCAAACTAATAATGCGATGGTAAATTATAAGTGATTCCAGAGGATGCAAGGAATGCAATATATCACCAATTCACTATACAACAATTATATCTAAAATAGCCGCCACAAATGCATTTCCATTCAAGGTTATGTACAACTAGCAAGAATACGATAGCTGTTGTTTTATCATGAAATATAGCAAAAGGAAAACAATAAGAAAAATTCAGTGAGTTAATTCACAGCTGCCAAGCAAAGTTCATAGACAAACCTCATCTACACTAAACTGCCAATACTCTTTTTCGTACATCACAGCTGCTAAATGTGCAAGTGCTTCTAAATAACCACGGGTAACCTCACCCTGATACTTTTTACCTCTCCTTTGGATGATAACATGTGAAGGTTGCGAAGCATCTTGAACAATACGCATGCCAACACAAGCAGGGCAATACCAGTTCCCCTCAGGAATCCTTGCCAGTGGAGGACTCAAGCAATATGTATGATACTCAGCATCACAAGTGTCGCACAAAAGAACACTATCATCATCTTTGTCAATACCACATACTTTGCAAACACCCTCGTCCCAAGGCGCTTTAGGGATATCATTTGTTGAAGCAAGTATGTTATTTATTTCCTTCTTCGTCTCGGCATTAAAGCAATCCAATTTAGCATATTCTGCGAATTTCTGAACTAGGACAAGCACCTACAACAAAAAATAAATAATTAATATACCACCAAAACTGAGTCAAGATGCAAAACAAGCAAAACAAATGGAGGAATGGCCACAAAGAATTAGAATACATGGAAAATCATTTATAATTGATTTCAGGCACCAAATGGCTGTTGTTAACTAACTCATGAAATAAACTAACAAGAATACTTCAAACCTTATTTTGTTTTAAGAATATAGATGATGAAAAATTTAGTGATAATTCTTCAAGATCATATCCTACTGGGTATCAAATTCCTGAACACCTGGTTTGAACAACCTTTTTATGCAAGTCAGACAAAACACGAGAATACAATCACAGAGCACAATGTCTCTGGACCATACCCATTTGAATGGAACTGTTAGTGTAACTGAGAGACACCTCAATCATATGTTTATTGTACTGATATGAGAATAATCTTATTGTCAATCTTCAAAATTAAGAATAATATGTTTGACACATAGTTTTATCTTATACATGTGAGTAAATTGGAAGAAGGATTTACTTTAAGTTCAATTTAAAAGGATCTAACTAAGAACACCATGTTAATTCACAAAAATGAAGAAAATAATGGTACACCATCATCATTTATAAAAGTTTCATCCGTAAGTGGCACATAATTCATAGTACAAAAAAATTTAGGCATTTACTGACCAGTTAATTATAAATAAAAAATTACTTCAAAAGAAATAGTATGAAAAAGGAAGGAACTAACGAACCTCTTCTTCATACAAGGACTCAAAGTTTTGGGATAGTGACTCAGCCAAGTCAACTAAATCTGGCTGATCGGTAAAAGCAGAACGAACATTACTCCATAACTGCCAAGCAAAAGAAACAACAATCAGATGGAGTATTACATCTGCACAGTATAAAACTGAGAAAGGCAGTCAATCTCTAAAGATGTACATAACAACTGGATTAAAAGTTCAGAAGAAATGTGCTGAAACCGAGAGAAGCACAAGGATAATTAGTAATACAGTCCCCCACCCCCAAAACAAATAAATAAATAAATAAATAAATAAATAAACAAACAGATAATAGCAACAATAGTGGCATGCATCAAAGCATTGAGACTATGAGTCAAGCAAAATTTAAGGCTTACAATCAAAAGAAAAGACAAACCAGGCACAAGAGCAAGCAACTACAGTCTACAGCATTGTGAAAACAATAGTTAAGCGTCCTAAATTCCTAAGGTTTATATTTCATTCCCAACATATAAACCCATGAAAAAATGCAGAAAATAAACTCAAAAGCCACAGTTAAGAGAATTTCACTATATTTAACCTATATTCATTCATGCACAAAGTCTAAAACCTCCAATATTTTACTAATCATAGCATCATAAAATGCTGCTGAATAAACAAGTGACAACGGATATATCAAAAGAAAAAGTCAGATGGAAAAAGGAAAGTTGTTTGCAACAAAAACCGTGCAAGGGAGTCAGAAGAAACAAAAGATTTAGAGAAGTTACAACAGAAAACAATTAAGCAATAGGAGACAAATAAAACACAGACCTCACGAACATCCTCAAGAAAAGCTTTGTGTGATCCACCATAGGCTCCGACTGCCAATCTCAAATCAATAGTCCTAAAATCCAGCGGACGGGACACCATGGCAGGAGGTCCAAGGAGCCCCTCATCATCATTATCACTGGAATTCATTAGCTTTCTTCCCAACAAGTTGCAGAAGACCTTTGAATCATCAGCAACAGCAGCACGACGTAATATGATGCGACATTGTTTCATGATAACATCAGATACAGATAAGACAATCTTCTTTTTACTAGTTTCTTTGTCAGATTTTTTTGTTGAACATTCATTCTGAACATCTGCTAGCACCGAAAGAACAGCTTTCTGTGTTCAATGAAAAATAGAGTTCTTCAGAATCATATTTGCTACTACATATAGAAAACTCTGAAAGAAAGAACAAGTAGAAAAGAGAGACATGAAAAGTATAACATAGAAAGAAAAAATGTTAACAATCAATTCAAAGAAAGAACATTTAAGCTCAAAGATTATGTGATTTCTTTTTTATGCATTCTAATACTCAAAATCAACACTAACAATACTTCTGCTTAAAGTTAATTAACTTCTAATGAAAACCGAAATACACAATAAAATATATATACAAACGAAGAGATTTAAGGGTACGTTAGAGTTATTTAAGTATCACTCCCTTTATTCTAACTAAAACTTTATCCAAATGAGGAGAGAGTTTCCCCTTCCCTTCCACACTTTCCCTTCCCTCCCCTTGATCCAAACATGGTGAAAGTTCATTATATTTGAAAGGGCAGGTTAGAACAATCAAAATATGGAATTCCTAATATATAAAGACACAAGACATTGCAGTACAACACAATCAATAAATATGGTACAGACTCCTGCTGTCCTGCATCAGACAAGCTTATATATAAATCAAAAAAAAAATGTGAAGTGGTCTGTTCTGCCTCCACTCTCCAGCAGCATTTAGGTCTATGTAACCAAACCAACCCAACCCACCCCACACGATACAACAGGCTTTCAAAAAAAAAAATACGAAGACCTTTACCTTTGTTGGTCCTGATGCATTGCCCTTATAAACTTCCTTACTGATTGAATGTAGCAATTTTTCCTTGGCCCACTCTGGAGGATCTTTTTCCAAAGCCTCATGCACACACTTTCTGATTCTGGTTCCAACATTTGTTGGCAGCTTTTTGACAGGTTCCAGCAACTTTGCCCACTCTGGAATATCACCACCATTAACAAAATTCTTTTCACAAGCAACATTTTGACCAGCCCCTTCATCTTCTATAGTCAGAACATCACTTTTTCTGTTCAAAGAACAAAAAATTCTCTTTGTAGCCTCTGCAAGCAACTGAAGTTCAAACCAGTTAATCAATAGTTAAAGACATTATCTTCTTCTGAACCCATGAATGCAATGATCATTGCAAAACACAAAATTAACTAGAACCAAGAACTAATTTCCTGCATACACCTCCACCAAAAAATAGGCTTCAACACATCTATATTAATTGGTCATATATGCTCAAGGGGCAAAAAACTTGAACATTAAAACAAAAGCTGCACCACAAAAGCAAACACCAAGAAAAGTGCTAAGATGAACACATACAACGATTCCTTATGAAAGGTTTTCTAAGCTTTTTTCACCATTTTGAGTCAACAAAATTATCGTCTTCTGAACCCATGAATGCAATGATCAGTGCGAGACACAAAATTAACTAGAACCAAGAACTAATTCCCTGCATACAGTTCCACCAATGAATAGGCTTCAAGACATCTATATTATTTGATCATATATGCTCAAGAGGCAAAGACACTTGAACATTAAAACAAAAGTTGCACCAGAGAAGCAAACACCCAGAGAAGTGCCAAGATGCAGACATAGAACATTTCCTCATGAAAGATTTTCTAAACTTTTAAATATTTTCACCATTTTGACTAAGCAATATCCCTAAAAGAAGGGTTTATAGAAAAAATACTAACAACTATAACCAAACTTACAAGCGCGTCTGCTTCCATCCCAGCCACCCCAGTAAGTGAACCGCAAAGCACCCCACCATCACCTTGTAAGCAACGAAACACTTTAGCACTCTCACGGGCAGTGATTTCTGCTGAGTCAAGATTTCCATCCATAGATAAGAAAGACAATATGTATCTTCTAGCTAACTCAGGCCAGGTCAACTCATTAATTGGGAGCACACTGAGCTTAACCTTTTTGGAAGGAGCTGTACTATCTATATCTTTCTTCCTCCCCCTTTTAGATATGGACTCGCCAGAATCAAAATTTGGATCAACAAGTGCAGCAACCTTTGAATGCAGCTCACTTATTAACACCGCTAACAGTGAGAAGTGAACCTTTGTCAATGTCACACCAAAGCATCTTCTGTAACTAAGAGGTGCAAGCCTGGCCCGGTCAGCTTCCATCATTTCTCCTGTTTCCGTCTGTATAAATGGATGTGGGTTTTCAGTAGAATTTTCCATACAGGAATCGCCACTTGGTGATACATTTTTTTCATCCATACTGTCAATTCTGGATAAACTCAGTACATCAGATCCTTGGTTTTCACAGCCAAATTTATGAAAGAAATTTGAGTGATTAGACCAGGGATTTATAAGCTCCTGTTCAAGTTCATTGGCTAAAAAAATCTCCTGCAAACCCATTACTTCACCAAAGCGCCATAATAACTCCCACACCTGAGTATATAAGCATAAAAAATATAATTAAGATCCTCATATACAGAATAAAAAAATGATCATATACAAGAAATTCTACTCTAAATAGAATACATATTGATTTCCTCAACTAAAAAACATGAATACCTGATGAAAGTCACCAAAAAGTTCAGGAGGAAGTCTCAAGCAAAATGGCTTTCCTGCAGGAGGACCACGGTCATCAACCAACCGAGGCTTTTTAGACTTTCCAAATAAACCATCCAATCCTTCTTCTCCCTCACATTCAAGACCATCTGGTGTTCTAATCTTCAGGAGACCATTTCTGATTGTTAAGGATCCTGAATAAGAACTTCTTTTCCTCAAAGGTTCATATCGGGAACAGGCCTCGACACCAGGAAGCTCTTCGATGATTTCTTGTATAAATTCTGCATCCAGACCAAATCTTTCCTGTTCCAGCCATTTTGTCAGTTCCTCAGTCCAAGTCTCCAGCTCATTAGCCTGATACTCAAAAGGAAGGGAGAGAGAGACTGGGAAGCCACAAAATTTAGCTAACGGAGCAAGTGTCTCTTTATACTTTCCATCCATCATATCCCAGTATGATGACCCAGTTTCCTTTCCTGCATGCTTACAGGAAAACTTCAGAGCACCTTTTCTTTTACTTATCTCAGAGCAGGCATCAATTAATTTCTGTGATATTATTCTCCATGCATCAGAAAATGAATGCTCTTCCACTGAAATTTCACCAATTTCATCTATTAACTTATCTCCCGATTTTTCACACATTAAACCTGCTTCAAGTTGGGATTCGTCACTGTGCTGACCGATGAATGTTTCCTTAGAGCTACTTTTCAAAGAAGTCAAGATATCATTTTCCATAGGTGGGCAAGGATCTGTAAGGATCCTTTGAATACTGTCATCATCATCGAACTCATTGTTATTAAAATAACCAGCATCACCTTCATTATTATGACTAGAAGTTTGTTCAATTTTGGGCATGAAAAGGACAGTTGACCTAATTGGAAGGGGCATTGCAGAGCACAAACGCCTTCTGATCTTGAAAATAGGTCCAGAATCACCACCGTCTAAAACTTCACATGTAAAAAGGGACCCAGTGATCTTATCATGCCAACAACACTTATAACCTATAGGAAATATCAAACTAGCATCATGATATGAAGGTCTTGTGTCAACAACCCCCAGACAAAGAACAAAAAAATCTTCAAACTGCAAAGGAAGCCCATCCTGCAGGGATATAAAGAAGAAGAAGAAAATCAGAACACTCAATCTAGAACACTTAGATTTCACAAACACAAAATAACAATATGAAAGAAAGGATATTAGCCACATACGAATAAGAAAATATAAAATTAACAAGTCTCCTTACATTCATTTGTTCAGATCCAGAGCTACTCTTATCATCTTGCATTGCTTCAGTAATTTTCATGATACAAGATTTATTGGCAAGCTTTTCCACAATTTGACTATCACATGGAAATCCTTTATAATATCCACTAATCAAACTTCCCTTATTTTCAGGAAATCCACCAGAAATTTTAAACCTAGTTGACTTCCTTTTTCTTGGTAGATGCAATCTTTCCAGATGAGAACCCCCCTCATGTTTTGTTTCAGCATCCATAGGGTTGTAGCTCGACACCAACCCAAGATAAGAAGCAACCTCAGCCACTGAGCCAAATGTTTTCCCATCAGGAGCGCAATAAACTGCATGCAGATCACAGCCACTCGTTGAATGTTTTAGCTCCACTCGCCAACCTTCCTCCAGGACCCCATGTCTTTCTGAAACAAATTCTCTAAGAGCCTGCAAAAATACGTCACTCGGATTCCGAGTTGGAAATCTAATAGTTGTACTATTACTATTCTTCGGCATCCTAAGTGGAGAATCCAAATCTACCTCATCAAAACTTCTATCTCTAGTTCGCATACGATGCATTATATCTTCAAAACCTATTTTAACTGCATGTGTCACAATCCTAGGAGCTTTTTGAGAGCCAAATCCATTACCCGAAAACAAGGAATTCATATATGTCAAGGGGGCGCCTAATCCCTTGCCAACAAAAGAATTGTCACCAGGCATGTGCTGTCTGGAACCAAGACATATGTTAACCAGTGATCATATATAAAAACATAAAATTCTATAGATCTTTAAAATTTAAAATAAATAAATGAAGTTATACAGACATGGTGAATCAAAGAAGAAAAAAGTACCAAACTCATGAAAGAATAGGACCTGCATACTAGCAGATAAACGAGCAGGAGACAAACCATTGAACACACAACTTTCATAGCACAGGAAGCATGAATCAAACAAGAAAATTACAAAGGTAATTTCCCACAAATCCAAGCTGACAAAAACTGATGTTGAAAATAGTTAATCGTCCATTTAGAGTTTGAGTGTCATAATAAAGTTCCACAAGAAAGCATAGTCTATGAATCAAGAAACAATCTACTAGAAATGAAAAGGCATAATAAGGAAGTTAGCACCATTATAACAGTTCTCGAATAAATGGGTTAAAGACTATTGAGCAGCAATATCATAGAGAGAATATAAATGTGATACAGGCGGTGAAGTTGGCAGCACTAGAGCAGCTCAGGAAGAAACAGAGAAAGACAACAAGGACACAGTTTCAAGGAATAAACAGGTAAAGACAACTGGTACACCATGTCAAGGAAAAAAAAAAACACTAATAGCAGTAGAATGCTGCAACAAGCTTGGATTATATGGAACTTCATAAGCAAGAAGGCTTTGAATGAAAGAGAAAATATTATCTTTTGGTAACACTTTCTAAGTTCCAACCATGTGAGCTAACACTGCATGAGAAAGTTGTGGCATCGACTAACAAGGCAATTCCAACATAGTCACTAACCTAAAGCTACAGCAATATGGCATAAATTATACATCTTTGCATGATCAAAATTAACTAAAAAGAGAGCAGCATAACTCTTCACATGCCAAAACAGCAACTTAAAATTGAAAGGAAAACAATTTTTAAACAAGGGACACAAAAACGATAACATAACAGCAGTACCACAGTTTTGAGGGCAATGGCAACTAATTCAACTTCAATTCCTAAAATTTTCAATTCATGAAAGAGGACTAGTCATCTTAAATCATTAGTTAAAATACGAAATAGCTATATTCTCCATCCTGATCAGGCATTCGCTAGTAATCTTTCGAGATTTCAGGAAAAAATCATAAGTAAAATAGTAGTAAAATCAAAATTCAGGAAAAAGTTACAAGCAACCAAAAGGCTTAAAACAGTGGTAAAATATACATCATCCAACCAGTCACGAAATAGCTATATTCTCCATCCATGATCAAGCATTGGCTAGGAATCTTTCGAGATTTCAGGAAAAATCATAAGTAAAATAGTAGAACAATCAAATTTCAGGAAAAAGTTACAAGCAACCAAAAGGCTAAAAACATTGGTAAAATCTACGTCATAAAACCAGTCAAACTACATTAACTGATCAGCTTCAAAAACTATCAAGTACCATCAAAATATGTATGATTAGAGTCATGCACACAGCCTGCCTAAACATCCTGACCCTATCCAACAGTAACATACACTACATCATGAATGCAAATAATCTGCCTGTCAAATGCAATTCATTTCAACTAACCCTCATCATATTCAATCAATTAGCTCTGATTTGCTTTTTTTTAAATGCCTAACAAACTTAACCCAGCTACAAATTAAACACATTTTAACTCTTTGAGCTAGAGAACACTAGAATTAAATCAAGCAACCCAATATCTAACATCCTCAAGAACAACATTTCAAATATACTACAGTCATAAGTCATAACTACACAGTTAGCATTAATGCAGGATAAGAGGACTTACGAAGCATCGATTAAAAACTAAAAAGCCTAAAATCACGTTCAAAATATTTTAAGCTTTAAGTCTTACCTCATTAACTCCCGCATCTCATCACCTTCCCCATCACCATCACTTGGCGGGGAAGCATTGATATCAAGAACAAGTTTTTTGGCCTTAAACCCGAGCGGCCACCGCTTACTCCTTACTCCGCGGCCAACGCACACTCCGCAAACCCACTCCTCCCCCGCGGAAAACGACCCGGAAGCCCCCGAGCATGCAAGATGAAACCCTCGCTCACAGCCGTCACAAACAACAACTCTTCCTCCTCCGGCCATCGGTGCCGGCAACCCACACGCACCACACTGTTCCCTCTCGTTCCCAATGGGAACACCGGCGGGCTCACCTAGAGCCGGGTCAGCATTCTCGTGGATAGCCCGAACTACGGAGAACGAATCGGGTTCGGCGGATTCGGGTAGGTTTTCGGTGAATGAAGAAGAAGGGATCTCGTTTAGATCGATGCCGAGAGGTGAACGAGTCTCGGGCTTTGAATCGTTCGAATCGGAGAGTTCCATTTTTGAGGTTTTTTTTATCCGAGTCGGGGTTTTTTGAATAACAAATACATTTTTTCCTTTTTTTTTCCGCCTAATGAAGGGAAAGTTAAATTAGAGAGAAATGTATAAATATTTATATTCGGATAGGGAGAAAAAGTACGGTACTCACTCTACCAGGGTGACACGTGGAATGTGGATCTAAAGGGTGTTTTAGTTAAGGAAGAAGAGGTGGAGTTAGTTGGGGTACTTGTCTGGTCCCAAGTCAAATAGTTTTGACTTTGGTTATTTCCTTTTGGCTTAATTATAAAACAAGTGCTCAAACTATATCATTTTTCTTAAATTGGTATCTAAATTTTTTTGAATCATCCATTGCCTAACGTTACCACTTTAGGTTTACGGGTAGTGACTTTCATTAACTTTCTCCGTTAAGTGATACATGTCAAATTCTAGTAATTTTGAATTTTTTAAAAAATTAAAAATATTATTATATTTATAAAAAAATATTTACCACAACAAAGGTTCTCCAACCGAACACCGATATGCAATTTCCCCAGAACTGCATCCATAAGGACTTACTCTAAACACACAACAAAGGTTTCACCCTAAGGGTGTACCTTGGGGCCTATGGGCCTACCCAAGGGTCTTCTTAGGTCTGTAAGGATTTACCAGCTTGATCAGAGCTGAACTTCTGTACTCCAGAATCCTACCCATACAATATCCAGTAGAAATCAGATTGAGTAGTAACTTTAATATCAAAATCATGATCCGGTAGAATGTTGTAAAAATGGCAATATAGTTATTTAAATCACATAAATGCCCTTCATCTGTACACCAAAATACAATCCTCATACTAAGGGAGTACCTTGGGGCCTTAGAGCCAACCCAAGAAATACCTTAGGTCTGTAAGGAATTACCAGCTTGATCAAAGTTGAACCTCTATACTCCAGCCTGCCCAGATAGTGACCCAATAAAACAGTTTAAGTAGTAACCAGTAGATTCTATGATCTATAAATCAGGAACGATTATATTTTCCAGTGAAAATAGGTAACTAGAGAGCACATATCAGGTAGTCATAGTTCATAAACAGTAAATCAAAATATCAAACAGTTAAAAGATTTAGTAAAACAGTAAATTCAGTAAATTACATTTCAGGACAGATAAAATAATCATATAATACATAGGGAACACACTATAGGATCCAATTATTCTCTGAAGGTACTTGGTATTTATCAGGTAGGAAACCACGAAACTTTTGTAATTTGATAAATTTTCATAAATGAGATCCCTTTAAAAAAGGGTTCAATAGCTAACAAATTTATCAGTCATTCATAAAACGATACATCAGGATCATCTAGTGTTTGGATATATATAAAGGGTATTTAATAATTGTTGTATCATAATTACTTAAGATTCGAATATTCCAGGGGTGATTCCATCAATCAAATTCATAATGGTATTATAGTCATTTGATTCCTAAGAAATTTGATAAATGAGTTTAATACGGGTATACAATGATTTATAAAATTACAGATTTCAAACATCTTAACAGGTTTCCAATTTCAATCGCATTGAACAAATCCCGGCAAAGACAACACTTATCAAGTATGTAGGTAGAGAAAATATAACATCCTCAATACCGGGTTAGTGATTAAATGGTAAAATTTCAGAATTTGGGGATAAAAGTAGGATAGTTGAAAGTTCAATTATTTAGATATGAATAATTCCTTATTGGATTAGATGAAGGGTATAATGGTAATTTCACAATAATTTTTTTTTATTCCTCCTTTATATAGGATATAACACGTGGAAATGAATGGAGAAAGGTTCCAATTTCCAGAGTTCTCTTCTTCTCCTTTCTTCTTCACATGTGGAAGCCAAGAACAAAGGTGAGATTTCTTATTAGTTGGTTTTTAGTTGAAATTAAGCTTGGGTTTTAATCATAAGATGATACTTACACTTAAGGAAAGCTTAAGTTATCTTAAAACTATAAGATGAAAAAGATAATATGGATCAAAGATTGGAGTTTTTAAGTGAAAATTTGAATAAGAATGTTTAAATGAATTTAGATGATGAATTTGACTTGTCATCTATGAGAATGAGAAGCTATAAGTGTTAGAATTAAGTTTGAGTAACATGGAAAATTTGGTGTGATTATTGATTTCTATATAGAGAATAGAATTTTGAGGTTTAAGATGAAATAAATGGGTATAAATTAGTTTAAGTATGTATATATGAGTTAAGAATATTAAAGGAAGTGAAATAGGAAGTGTGGAGCTAAAAATGAAGTGATTTTCGAGCTCAAAACATGATTTCTGGGCTAGGGGAATCGGTACCCATTCAATGAGAATCGGTACCCATTCAATGGGAATCGGTACCCATTCAATGGGAATCAATACCCCCCTCAACCAAACCAGAAATTCCAGAATGTCATAGGGGAACTAATTCCCCCACAGTAGGGAACCGATTCCCCCTCTAAAGGAAAGTTGTGAATATTGGTTTAATAGGTTCGTTTAAGTTGCTAATATCCAATTACAAGGTGTAGATATCTAATAATTGCCTTAAAATGTACATTTATGTAGATTCTAAGCGTAAAGTAATTCCGGAATATTTGGCAAGTAAGATCGATCAAGGAAAAGATAAGAGATCAGTATTGACTAGTGAGGCCAAGTGAGTGCGTATTATTATAATATACGTATTGTATATGGAAATTGGACTTGCGACAAGTCTGTTTCCAATATGATTGTAGGAGTAGAAGTATGATTATGTTTGATATTGTGTGAATATGTTTTGTTCGTATTATATGTTATGTGGTATGAATTTATATGATATGTGTTATATGACAATGATTTATGTATTATAGGAAAATTGTTATATGAGCTATATGAACATGGGATATAAGTTATAGGATCACAAATTATGTAAAGTAATCACGACTTATGTGTTAACAAGAGAAAGTGACATAAAATATGGAACAAAATATAAATTACCTGATTTAGATATAAGGGAATTGGTGGAATCAACTTAAGGGATTAAATAAAATGTGAGATAAGTTAAATAACATTGACCTATAGAATAATATGAGATTAATATTAATATATATATATATATATATATTAGGAGATATTGATAGAACTGGTTATAGGGATATGTAAGATCAATTATATGGTAAAGATCTATGAAGCTATAGGAAGATATTATAGGAGCTTTTGATGATAATTTATTCGAAGACTTGCATATGTGATAAGTATGTGAAACTGAATTAGGCAAATATGTGTAAAGGTTATATATATAAATAGAAACATAAATGAGATAAGTAAGTAATGATATGATCAATTATGGGAAATTGTGCATTAGAGTTATAAGATTTATGGAGAATGGAGGAAAACTAGATAAGACTGAACTATAAAAGGAACCGAGAATAATATATCACTTAGGAGATTTGGATATAAAGAGATGATATGCACATAGAATATAAAATACATGTTTATAAATATGACATAGGTTATGTGTTATATGATAAATATGAATACATGAGAATAAGAGATAAAATAAGTGACTTTGTGATGGAAGCTATATGACCATGAATGATGTGAATTGTAACATCCCCAGCCCGTACCCGACCCAGATACGAGTCTGAGGTGTCACATTGACTTTTCAAACTTGGACTCAAGACAAAAACTCGAGAAAATTTAAAAATTTCATTAAAGTCACAACGGTTTGTTTAACTCAATCAATTAGTACATACTAACTATATTCAATATACAGAATACATCTAATTCAAGACATCTTTTCTGATCTGATCTTCGGTAAGAAGTAACTGACCGGTCTTGCTCCTATTCACTTTTCTTCTAGCTTTCCGGAACCTACGTGTGAAACACTCACACGCTAAGTTGATGACTTAGTGAGGCATAAAAACATATAACCACTACTAATGCATTCATAATCTATACTTATTATATCATACAAAATCATACATTCTATCATGCAACCACTATCCACTTGTACACACACATCATTCACATATTCTTATAACATGTTTCATAGCACAAAACATGTAAATCATATGTAAGGAATTTATTATTATCTCTTTATTAGTCTTATTTTCGTTCTTTATCTTTTTGTCATATGTTCTTGCATCAATTCCTCTTAACCAAGCTATATTCACATCATCATATCACATATCACTTCACACCATAAAGATTACAAACCAATCACATACTATTATGCAAGGTTCTTTTATATTATTTCCTTTATTAGCCCATGTACACATGTGAGAACCATATATATGTGAGTCTATAGAGGTTGTGCACTAATGCTGTCACCACAGCTCGTATAATTGCACCGAAGTGCCACGTAGAATTGCACCGAAGTGCCGCGTAGAATTGTACCATAGTGCCATATAATAATGTCCATAAGGACCACATATCATTCCTTAAGAATCATATACATATACTAGGGATCAAGTACGTGTCTCACAAGACTTCACACATGTTCCAAACAATATATACATGTCCCGAAGGACCGCGTAGTCCCTCGACTCTTGGCATGCCAACTATACCCCTAGCTCTCAAGACACATAACATGGGCACTGTCTTTTATATCCTTGCACATATTCATGTAAACATATCACATATTCATATAAGCTCGTAGCTTCATTCACACATACATGTAATCACGTAGTTCATGTAAATTCTCGTATGATTTCATATTCATATAATCTCGTAATTCACTTACACATAGCACATTTTCATGTAATTCACATATATCCCTTAGCTTATATCTCTTGATAATTTAATCATAACTTCTTATAACATATCTCATAGTCATGTCTTCCTATATTCATTTCATCACAAAGGCTCATAGTTTCTGGTCATATTATTCACATTCTCTGACTTATCTCTTATGATATGGTAATCACTACACTTATTTCATATAACTTATTGTCGAATAATTCACATACAAACACCTAGATCACTTTCACATAGCTTATATAAGTTTCCTGAATCCTTTCATATTACTTGATAACGTATATCATATAGGTATATGATAACTTATCTCATTTCATCCACTTTATGCTT